GAGTTAAAGCGGATGGCAGGAGAAGGAATCCCAACGGACATCCAAAGACGGGAGGGGGGGGGTCATCTTCAATTCCAGTCAGGTTTTGTTGATATTCATTGTCATTGCTCCCTCTCTCTCCCTCTTGACTTTTTCAAGTCAACTCATACCTTCCTGATGCTGACATTAGCATTTGAGCATTATTGATCAGCCCGCGGCGGGAGCAAGAACGCAAGATTAATTTACCTGACCCCCCGTCTCTCAGGATCCATTCAGGATTTTCCAAAAGCCGTAGCGATCCTTCCCATCTAATATTGAGATGGAGCTGGAACAATGAATGCTGAGGGAGGCAATGAGAGTCCTCCATTCTGACAAGACACCAGACCCCACTGCTGCAACAGCTCAAATGCACTCTGTAGTTGGCTGTATTATTTATTTTTTTTACAGCGGTGAGCAATATTATATTATTTATTTATTTTGATGGCCAAAATAAAATCAGAGCAAGAGTTCCATGTTCTCTGTGGACTGAAGAAATAAATACTCAGTCGCATCTCAAGACGTCGTTCTCGCTCTTTTGATTTCACTCTTTACAGAAACTGTCGATGTACAACAAACCTGTTCAGCTTCAAAGCTCATGGAAAATTCATGCTCATGCCTAAACCATAAACCTGTCCAAAACCATGAGAAAAAAAAAAAGACAACACAGCCATTTGCTCATCTGGACTCTGCCTCCTGCGTGGTTTCTCTCTCTCCTCAGCGAGACATAACAAATGCCTGCAAACCAATCAGGAAGTACTTGAATTCAGAGCGAAGAAAACTAGAATACACCACAAAAGTGACTTGCACGATACAATCGCTCCCTGTCCGTGGATAAGCAAAGCCCCAAACCTGGAGAACCCGCCATCGTATCCTGGAAACCCGTAATTGTGGACCACGTGAGCACAGAAGCCACAGTCCAGAAGGTAAAGGCAGGGATCAAACACACCCAACAGCTAAACGGCGCCACCCGGTAATCAGGGAGCAGGTGATTATTAAATCAAATCCACCTGCTGAAGGTTAGCAGGCAGAGGGGAAGGCGGGAAACTACGGCGTGTTCCACTACTCGTAGTACGCCACGGGTTAGAATGTCAGAAAGATATTCAGCAGTATGTTAAATGCAGCATGCTAAAAAATACAACTTGTAGGAATATTCAGGCGTCAGCGCTAGAAATAAGAGAATGGGTTCTGCTCAGGCACTATTAGAGTAAACTCGAATGCATTGCGGATATTATACAATAGAAAGTTAGAGAGAGAGCTGTTTAAGTCACTATACTAAGCATCTTTTTCGTATAATTGCAAAATTGCAAGTCTCCCCCTTGAAGTATGCTCTTTAAAACATGTGGACACCACAGTGAAACAAATCAATCACCCCCATGTTCTATGATGGCATGCCAAGTGCTAGCTGGAGCCTTTGGGCTAGTGCAGAGCAGATTTCCCTGCATGTAGGCTGTAACCTAATGATACGACCGGTGCCATCTCCTCTTTTATCAGTCCTTGCAACTGCAGTTTGCACGCCAGCGTGCTGTTCTGGCTTTCAACCCACAATCCTCTGCGCAGCATATGCGTGAGAGTAGGACTACCGTGATAAGACAAAGTAGTATCCAATTCAATGCATACTGCATGAAACAATGTAAGGGTATCTGCAGTACAAAGTAAAATAAATCTCAACCTGCTGCATGGTGGTTGGACAAGGCACCATTGGCGGCTAAGAAAATGTGGCTCTTCATGATGTACGTAGCATAGAATCTTTTCGTGTATCGATATCTGATACCATTCATCTCCTTATCTTAGCCTCAGCAAGATGTTGAACATTTCATCTGATGCTTAAAAGACAGACACATTAGACTTTGTTGTCTTTTTGCCACATGAGGACAATACGAAGCAGGTCAGAAGTCTTTCAATCCACAATAAATGTTTTGCTCCATGTTTATTTCAGATTTTCCTAATGTTTTCACGGCTGCACGTAGCTTAACACAAATTCTCAGCCCAGCCAACCCGGCGAGCCCGAGGCATGCTAGTTGTGTACCCTCGCAAGCGCTGGTCACTGAAATCAGCCAAAAGCAAGCCCGCCAAAAAGTGCCATTGATTTTGGGCCGCGGCTGCGAGCTACGTTGAGCGCGGCCCCGGGTCACAGCCTCCACACATCTCTTTGGTTTCTCTTTCACAGCAGACTGAACCCGCGAGCACAATGCCAGTTGGCCCGTCCCGGTGCTTTTTCACCCAGATACTCCATCAAAGAGCGGTGCGGTAATTAGACAGGGTTAACACCGGGCCGGGCCACAGGTGCCTATTCATTAGGGTTGGTAATAAAGGGTCCCGCAGCAACAGCCACAGAGTGGGCTCAGGTGAGCCTTTGTGTTGAGCAGCACACATGACTCTGAGGCCTTTCAGCAGCACATGTTTTAGCAGATTCTTCCGTGCTAAAGGAGTACGGGGCCTACACATCCTCCCCACATCTCGTTGTTGTGCTTGGGACAGTGATTACTCCAGAGGCCATGGATTAATCAGACTGCAGCGAGGGCATTGATCTCCAGTCCAATCCATCAGATATCGGCTTCTGCTCGATGGAGGGGGAGAAGTCTAGCATGGAAATAACTCCCTTAAGGTCAGGGGTTCCACTTTCAGGTTATAATTGAGGTGATCATCACATGTCCTTGATTTGGTATTACATGCATTCGACAGAAAATACTTTTTCGGGTTTTTTTGTTATTTCAATGCTTTCATATTTAGTTCTGTGTTTTCAAGCAAAGATTTGATTGTATTTAAATGTCGTATATGTATTATGTAAAATAGTAATATTGTAATAGCCTTCAAGTTAAAGAAAACACACTCTTGATTCACGAAGACACTATAGTGTGCAGAAGGCGAAGCCTCTTATAATGTAGAGAAAAACAAACACTCCGGTAAAAACGTTTCCTCTCCTCCATTAAATGGATACAGCCACAGCCATAAATCACCATCGCGATAGTTTATTTATTTGAATCCACCTTTTAACTTTTAAGTCAAAGTCCATTTCATTTTCTTCTTTCTTGATTTCCTCCACACTTTGAAGTATAATTTTGTTTCGATGAGCTGAACCAGACATTGATTCATTGCATCGTTAAATAACCCAACCGGGACTCGGCTGAAACATCTATTCAGAAGTAATGAAAGATTTAACTAATTATTTAGTTGACTGATCTGACCTCACACACGCTTGCCTATTCCACTGGCAATTGGCTGCGTATTGGTAAGAGCAGCGGCTCAGGATGCTGCGTGTGTGCAGGCGGCATCAAACACACTGATGAATATTGATGAACGCCGCACTCCACCAAACCCTTAAAACGAGGCGTGCAGAGTGGAGAACGAGGCCACATTCGGGTCATGATTCGCCGAGTGACAACATGAAGTTTTTCAACATGGGCAGTGACGCCGAGTACCACGTAACGCTCGAGCAACATAGTTTTGTTTCAGTTCTATGCAGTGGTTGTAGGCTGACATGAATATGTAAGATACGAAACATTAGAATGGCAATAGATGCACTTGTGAACGTACCAGCATATTGATGAGGAGCGCTTTGGGGACTGAAACATTCACACACCTGAATGTTCTGGTGATTACAAAAGCTTTTTTTGGGGAGATGTGGATGAACAAGCCCACATTCTGCAGAAAACTCTCCTTGTTTATTTCCTGTCACAGGTGAGTTATTTAGTCGAGCACCCTCATCCTTATCTCGGAATTAAGCCCCATGGCAACAACCATAATGATGCGCTCCACCATAATCACCCGAAACAGTTCTTTGTGGTACATGGCATCAGGTAATCATCAAATCCTCAACTTGATTTTCAGCTGAATACAAAACGTATGCAAATCAGAAAATTTCTGACAATATGTGTGGGCGAATGTTTTCCGTTTGGTTTCCATGCTACATATTTATATGACACAACCTTTTGGGTGAAAAGAAAAAATAGAAGAGATCAAGACGAGAGATCTTTGCCTTTGGTTAAAGGATGAAGCTTCACAACCTGCCTGACTCACAGCACGGCTGCATGGAGGGGAAAAGCTCGTCTCATTGAGCTTGACACGAGCTGCCCCCCCCCTGAAAGGCTCGGAAGTGACGGACACCTCTCTCCTTCCCCGCCACTCCAATCAGCTCGGCGACAGGTGCACGTGGAGAAACGAGGCGATCGATAACCACCTCCACGTCTCCCTTTCGTCCTCTCGTCTCCCTTTTGACTCCATCGCACTCTGCTCCCCCCCTTCTCTTCCTCTCTGTTACTCTTAATTTTTCATCCTTTCTTTCCCTCCTCAACGTGGCTGACTTCTCATTGTCTCCTCAGAGCATATTCTCTCCCCCCCGCCTCTCTACTATCCGTTTCACTGCAGCAAGCCTAGAGTCGGGGGTGACAGGAGAGACGAGAGGAGAAAGAAGGAGCACGTCACTCAGACTGCGAGGTGTCCTCTGGCTTTCTACTCAAGACACAATAGGCCAAACAACGGCACTGCCGGAGGCGGCAGCCGGTCCAACGGATGCTGCGGGCGTCTTCTGTGGCATCTTCTCGACCACAGCCCTGTTGCATCACGGTGGCAAACTGGAGAGATTTCTCCCTCCGTTAACTCGTTACCAGAGTCAAATGTATCCGGAAACTCATTAGCTACCCTGCGTTATTTAAAAAAAAAAAAGAAAAAAAGAAAACTGATGTCACTGCAGGTTTCAGGGTGGGCCTTCTTGCCTGGGTGGTTAACGGCGGAAGTTTGCCACCTGCTGGTCGTGATCCTCTTCCGGTGTCCTTGATCAAACCTCTAGTTAGGATCCCTTTAACCTCACTCACCCTCCTGGCATTCAGGCCCGCCAAATGCCCACACAAAGAATTTCATTTTTGTTAAATGTGGAATTTCAAGACATCAAACCAAGAGGCTCAACTTAAGGAGCCGTACTTTTAAGCATAGCAGTGCTTTTGGCCTCAGTAGGCAGCCGCTTTCATGGAAAACACTTACAATCATTTCAGAGCACCAAACTTTTATTTGCAATAAACAGCTCGCTGGGTGGGAAACACAGTTGGGAAGTTGGAGAGACAGATTTTTGTCCTCATAGTTAACAGTTAGTGGGGACAAAAAAAAACAAAACATAAAGGTTAAATGTGAGTGGTTACCACTACGGACCAGAACATGACTCCAAATGAATGATGATGTTGTTGTTCCGTGTAACTGCCGAAAATGTTACGGGAGGAATGAATTGGTACCAATGACTCAAGGATTAGCATTAGCAGAAATAATTAACATTAAATCGTATGGAGGTGACACAGAAGGGAATATGATCATACTGACATGAGAGAAATGTGTACTATCTGATACAGCTAAGGACAAGAGGTCAGTACATGCAGATATATTATGACCAGCGGACAATGTTAGGTTCAAATATACTGACATGTCTCATTGAATAATTCAAGGCTTTTCTTCATTATCCATCATGACTAATGCTCAGGTGTCCTTGAGCTTTCTCCTGTTTTAAGTGAAAAAAAACTGTTTTATCATTTCGCCATCCCATAACTTGTCCATCAATTTGTCCTGTACAAGTAACATGTTACACGAACCACCTTTTTCTGTTATTAAATAGAAAAATCAACTGCACATAAAAGCGTAAATGGGGGAAAAAAGCCAGGTTTTCCTTTTTCAATGTGTCATGGCACCATTTATTTATTAAAGTTATGCATAACCTTCCAACTTGATAATTGTACATATGTTGAACTTCAAGACATTATTAGAATATCAGGCAGTCAGATCAGTATCGCCGTGAAAGCAGAAAGAAGCTGCATATAGAGGGGAGGGGGCAAGATGCCCGAATGCAAATGAAGAAGTATGGCGTGTCGAGTGTGGGAGGGGATAAATAAGCATGAAAGACACCGGGCTGCGAGGAAAAAGAGGATGACACCCGTAAGTGTTGACAGGAAAAAGAAGGGAGGGCCACACGCATAGCAGAAGAGGAGCGGCGAAGGGACAAAATGCCCCTCAGTGAGGAGGAGGAGAAGAAAGAGGCAGCACGAAAAATGCAACAGGACCAGATCAGAGCCTTCAGACTCTTCATTCTAGTTAACACCATAACTAGAATTTATCTGAAATTCTAGACATTTATTAGAGTTTTAAACACAAAGGGATCTACCAGTGCAAGTCTGGCCTCTATAAGTCTGAAGAAATCCTGCCATTTCATCAGGGTACGCTAGACTAGCGTGCTTGTGTGCCAGCGTGCACCCAACACTCACACTAACCCTGGTTGACTGAAACAGGAAAAGCAGCCAAAACAGTAACACCATGGCCAAAAGCATGCAAGCAATGTTGGAAACACTTTGTTTTTTAAATGAAAAGAAAGAAAATAAATACATCTTGGGATAAAAAAATCTTAATACATTATCTTAAAATTTTCCTTTTCTTGTTTTGTGTTTCATATATATATATATATGAATATATATGTACATATATTCATATATATATACACATTCTAGAACACACATCTTTGTACATTTTGGTATAAGTTCTCTTTTTCTTGCAGGAAGGTCTGGGGAAAATGAGTGATGTGTGGTGGAGGGGTGAGGTTTTGGGGGCAATCACACTTTCCTGATTGCCTTGTGCTGATGGAAGGTATCAACAAGATGACTCCACCCTTCAAACATCTCTGCTCACACTCAGTCTTTCATTCTCTGTGGCAACTGTGGGCGAGGGTTGATAAAAAACAAAAAACAAGGAGCTCAGCAGTGAGAGGACGAGCTTATAGGGTGTCCAGAATGTCCAGGACTCAGGAAGTTGGAACAGCCCACAAGTCGGTACATCCTCTTTGGGACCAGAGCGAAAAGCTGCGGTGCCGTCTTCCTTTATCTCTTATCTGGGAAGATAGATGTGCAGGATCAGAAAAAAAGACAGATTTTTGATTCAAATATTCAAATCTAGTCATTCATATCAACACTGAGCATGACTTGAAATACCTTTGTTCCCATCCGTGTCTGCTGCTGACGTCTCTGGCCTTTGGCGTGTTAGATTGTTGTATTTGGCCTCAACCTCCTGACAGAAACAAACAATTCACACTCAGATCAGTTAACAAAAATGACCATGACGTTTAAAGTCACGCTGTTTTTACAAGAATGTGTGTTGGAGCGCTCGGTGGCTGTTTGATACCTTCAGGTAGTTGAGGTTGGCCTGAAGGTTTCTAAGGTAAGACAAGACCTGTCTGCTAAAAGAGGAGAGGCTGCCGGCCTGTGACGTCGACGAGAAGCGCAAGTTGATGCCGGAGTCGGCAGCGCAGCCTTGCGAGGATCTCAGCTGCTTTCCTGTGGTTGATGCCAGGATGTCATCATCTGTGCTGCTCTCCCCCGTGCCGCCGTAACCCTCCAGGACTAAATACCCTGCTGATGGAATCAAACGATGCGATTTAGTACCACTGCTGCAGGATCAGGGAGAGACAAAGAGCGCCGAGAAAGCTGCACCGCACAATGGAAACTATAGGAAAACATTCATTTATGACAACAACCTATTTCAATTGTTGAAGCTTGTCCAGGCTCACCATAATCTTCAGGAGAATCAAAGAAGCCTGTGTCCCCGGAGCCCAGGTCCTGAGTGGGTTCCTCTATCCGGGAGCTGCTCTTATCGGAGCCGTTGTGCACCATCACCCGAGCGCGGCTGTCCACTGGCGTCCGCAGGGAGGTGGTCCTGAGGAGACGCACCCCCGTGGAGCGTTTGGCTTGCTCCAAAGCCTCCTGGGACATCAGCTGGGTCACCAACACCTGCTTCAACGCTGCCACTGGGGGAAAGGTGAGGAAAAGGGGGGTCATTCCGTCCGTGTATAATAGCTGCGTGTAGCCGATTGGACTCGGAGTCGTCCGTGTTGGCTGCTTACGTGTTTTCAGTGCTTCGTCCGCTCTGGAGGGAAACAGGTCAAACGAGTCTCCTTCTTTGCCATCCTCGGCCGCTTGGTAAGGAAACTCTGGGTCCACAAAGCCTTCCTCCTCCTCCGCCTTCATTTCCTCAAATGGATTGCTACCTGGTAGAGAAGTCTGGGTCCCACTTCTCGGAGCCGGACTGCTCTCTTTATCTGCGGGTGTAGTAATCAGATGAGGATCATCTGCACAGTCGACGAGGATAGAATATTTACAACGATACAGATGAAAAATGTGTTTCTACAGCTACCTGTGGACTGGGTGCTGCCTGTGGATGTGCGGTCGGGGTCTCGACTCAACCTCGAACCACCTGCTGTGATGATCTCCACACCGTCTCTGTCCCCACTGGCACACAAGCAACATTGTACGTTATTAACAAGATCAAAGCCTGAGGACAATGTGATTTGATCATATAGGATGATAAAGCTACTTACTCAGTCTGAGGTAATGGTATGACGCTGTGAGGCTTTTCTTTGATGGCATCAGCTCTCTGGGTGATGAGACGCTGCCACCTTGAGAAGGAGAAAGAAAAACCCCGTCATTAGCCCATTTAACAAGTGGAGCAGCTCAAATTCAATTAATCAATTAAAATGTGGACTAACGTTCTCTGATCTGAGACTGTGGGTGCCATCAGCTCATAGATCTGGGCTCCGTTATCGGACATCGATAGGACGAAGAAGGATTTGTTGTCTGGCGAGAGAGAGAGAGAGAGCGAGAGAGCGAGAATGGTGAGGGGTTCTTTGTTCCTTTGTCTTGATCTGATCCTGATTCGTCACATTACTGTACCGCTGTTCCTTTAAATGCAAAACAGACAGAGCCATCGGCTGTTGACTGACCTGTGGCCACAGAGCGAATCAGCACAGTGTTGAGCTTGATGATGGGGCTGAAGATATGTTTGATATCCGCGGTGCCGGTCAGGTTTTTGCTGTAACACTTGAGTATCAGACGTTCATCTTGTTTCTGTAGCAGAACCAAGATGTCCTGCAGCAGGAGGGTGTACAACTCTGGAAAGAGACGTAAGTTACTTATATTTAGTTTTTGGCAGCAAAATTAAAGTTCATAGCAGTCTTATATTGTGCCGAGTCCATACCAATAGTCTTGTCCTTGTTCACTTTCCATGACAGGGGTCCCTCATGCACCATCGTTCTTTTGGTTAAATCCAAGTTCTGAAGGATGTAGAATGGGAAAATAAATTTAAAGCTTTTAAGTACTTGCTAGTGGTCCTTAGAGGCTTCTCTGCCAGTACTACATTTTCTACCGAGCAGATATTTTACACAGCATGTGTGTGTGTGTACAGCAAGCGAGTGTGCTTTCAATGAAGCTGAGGGGGTCATGTAGAGAACTCACTTTTAGCTCAAGGATCATGGGGTTGTCGGTCTGCTTCAGAGAGGAGAGGTCCAATCTTCTCTGATAGTCCTCCAACCTCTAGGGAAAAGACGAAAAGATGGAGACCAAGGAGAGTGGATAAGTAAGTGCTCTGTAAAGAGGAAGCCACTACCTGGGGAGCAACGGAGGTAGTGAACAAAATAAATTGTGGTTGAGACAAAAAAGAACGAAAAAAGGACTGAGACTGAACGGAAAGGAGAGAGAAAAGTCAAGGGAATGGCATGAAATCAAAAGCAGAACAATAGATCCTACCTGCTTGTCCTCCGATTCCTTAACTGCCTGGTTGACGTGATTGAGAATCTTTCGACAGCAGTCGGCTGCCTGCTTCACTTTGTCCTTCTCAACTGCGTTGTCTGAAATATATTATGACATCAAGTAAAGATGCAAGGCCTCCACGGTTTTGCAAACATTAGCATTTAAAAAAAATAAGAAGAAGCCGAGGGACATTATGATCCTGTGAAAGCTGGTTATACTTTATCGTTAGTGAGTTCTCTCTGCGTGACCCCAAATCCCAGCCAAGACTAAAATGATGGCCCAAATAATGGGTGAGACATTTCCCAAACTGTGCACAGCCACTCCATGACCATTACAATTCTAATCTCTCCATTTGTCTCTGTAATTCACTTGTTGGTAACATAAAAACACAGAGAACCTTGCTTAAGACATTACTTTTGTTCATTTTTATTCAGTTTCTTTATCTAATTCAATATATTACATTACATATTACAATATTAAATGCAGACTACGTATTGTTCCTGTATTACTGGTTCCCATGGTTACTCACAACATGAGTACATTTGTTTCCAAATGAAATACCTCATAGGATCTAAATTAATTGCTGGAGTGTCATTTTCGCAGTAAGTTCGGGTTGTTTAGAATCTTTTGAAAAAGTGCAGCGACTAAGTAGAACAGTGGATAAACAGATGACAGTTTCTCTCCCAGCGATGGAATAAAAGATTGACTACGTATTTGTGGCTGAGTGGAACACACTTTGAAGTGTGTGAATATTACTGGACTTGTGAACTGTAAGTGGTTTCCTTTAGATGTTCAAATCTGTTTCGTGTCTCCTGCTACAGATATGTGGGCTTCCTCCAGGGTTCATCTGTGTGCAAATATCCACTGCATATACTTCTATTTTATCAAGCTGCAGCAATTAGTAATACAGCAGAAAGTTAATATAATAATGTCTGATCGATACAATTATTTTTTTAAAAGACAGAATGAATATATGAATAAAGAAAACATGTAAGAACGAATCTAAAACAAAATCCATATTTAGCTTCAGCGATTCTATCATGCAATTAAAACAAAATACACGTTTTGAGAGACCATGCACACAGAAAGTAAGTGGAGCAAAGTGTGCAGTGCAATAACCACATGCACAAAACACTGCAAACTGTTGTTTAGTAAGACAACACTACAGCACCTGTGTACTTGGCGATGTTCTCTAGAAGCAGGGGGTACTTGGTGAGCCGCTGCATCTCCACAGGAATGATGTCCTTCAGCTGCAGTCGGCGACACAGTCGGTTACTCTCTGCCTCCTGCAAAGTGAGGGAAAGAAATCAGTATGGGGGGGGGGGACTTACGATGCTGCCAAAAAGCCCAAATACACCTCTAAGTATTAACCGTGACTGAGCAATACTAAATGTAGCGTTGTTTTCTGCTCAAATAATCGACATTGCAGCTGTATGTCTCGTTGAACTCTTCTTTGTGACACATTCGGAGCATCCATCAGTTCAGTAGCCAACCACACATTTGTCAGACAGACCCAATTTGGAAATCATCAAGTCAGTACCTGGACGAACGAAGTGAACCGCGAGTCTTTCTTCTGCTTGGTCTTGATGATCTCAAGAGCAAACGGCTGATTGCTGCAGAACGTCCCCACCGCCTTCTTGATCTCCTCCTCCTCTCCGTCGCTGAACTGTAACCACCCAACCCGAGACAGGACAGGACAGAGACGGAGATCAGTCAATCTGGGTCAGGGGTAGTTGCTATGGAAATGTCTGGTATTTGACCACTACAATGAGCAGCAACTCCCAGAAGGGGGCATGGCTTAGGACCTCCTAGCAAAGACAGCTTAAGTTTAAATGTAGCCGAGATCAATGCCCGGACCCTCAGGGGACCGTTTACCCTACTTATACCCCATAGAGACATTTTAGACAAGAGTGCCAGCTGCAATAGAACTACCTCACATCTAATGTATGACACATGATATCAAGATGTCTGCCAAATCTAGGGCACTGACTGACATAACCGTTTACTGAGAAACGGGCTTCCATTTCTCCTTTGTGTCTCGTCTAATGTTTTACTGTTGGATTTAAGGATGCGATGTTAACCCCGTATTTTTGTGTATACATGACATTTAAAAAATGATCAGAATGGAGACCGAAGAAAGCCATCTGATGCAAACATCCACGTATTTTGGGCAGCGGTTGAATATCTTTGTGAATAATACTTTTTTCTGCATCCGTAATCTTCAAATGTATTCAATATCAGAAAATGTTTTAAAGAGGGAAATACAATTTGAGCCAGAGAATTGGACTTACCCAGGAGAGCAAGTCGTCTCCTATCTGATCAATTACCGAAGACTCATTTCTCTTCCGAACAGCTGCCATTTGTTCCAGTATTGAAACTGAAAGTCAAAAGAGAGGCCACAACGGACAGTCAGCGTGCTTTGTTGTACGTAAGATGGCAAAGATGGGGGATACAAATTTAAATAACTTGCTGTGCACTGCTGTTGTGGTTCGTTCTACTTTCAACTGTATTCTGTTAGTCACTACCTTACTTCCGAGTTGGTGTTTTATTCCACTGAATCGTAACGGTTCAAGAGCCGTCACACTTAGATACGATTTGAGTCTGCGTACCATGCAGCTGTAGAATCTCATCCAGGTTGGTGAAGATGTTCTTGATATCAGCAGGGGGCAGGATGGCCTCTTTGGAGAGCTTCTGGTAGAAAACGTGGTCCAGAACCTTCAGCATCCTTACATGTGCACGCTCTGTATAAAACAGCTCTGCAGACACAATGCAAGATGTTCATTGAAGATGGCGGATCATTTGCACAACTCAACATGATTGTTGAGTGCCTCCGATGGGATGCAACCCATCTGCTGTCGTGTGTCTCTCTCTTCTCCGTTCTACTCATTACATCATTTACAACAAGTGTTGTTTTACATTGAGTAAGTACACTGAGGTGGAACAATTTATATTCTTTGACAAATGGTGAAAATGAATTGCAAAATAGCGTGACGTGAGAAGCCCTCACCATTGATGACCTCCTGTCTCTTGATTTCTTGAGGCCGGAGACCCGCCAGGATCTCTCGCCCCACCAGCTGCTGCCAATTCGGAGGGTCGTGCTCAGAGTCTGTTCCCTGGTCGTCCTCGCTCTGGACGTCAGCTGCCCCCAGTCCCTCAAGCCTACGGCCAGACAGAACTTGTGCTCATCAAAACAGACAACTCGGGAGAAGAATGCTGTGTCACTATGTAAAATGATCAGGTATCCTCACCGTCTTATGGCTTTCGGTGTTCCCTCGTGGGCTCTGCCAAAATATCAATGGTATGAACATGTTAACAGATGTGAGTTCTCTTCTCAGAGGATCAAAACTGTTGTTGCAAATGTGACTGTGAATGTGATCGTGAATGCACCTGTCGCTTTCTCTGTCATCCTCTTGCAGCTGGTCCAGGCTGTAAAGGTCGAAATGCGAAGCAGGGTACGGTAACCCGTCGAGGGGGTCGATCTGAAGGCCGTCACTCAGCCTGGACGGGCCTGAGGTCGGAGTCCCACCTGAGAGACAAGAAATGAGTCAAAAAATGCTGCCCCCTTCAGTCTCTCGCTTCCACCGATGCGTTTGATTCAGTCGCTCACCCGTATCGGCGTCTCGGCTGGCGTCTGAGCTGTAGGTCGCGCTGTTCGGCGTCGAATTGTTGATTGACATGGAGTGTGTGAGTTCAGAGCCCTCGCTGGATTGGCTGCCTCTCAGACGACCGGCTTCCATGTGATCACTTGCCCCCAGTGAGGGCTGTGACAACTGTTTCTGTGGCCGGGGGCGACCATCCAAAGCTTTACCAACTGAATAAGAAAAAAAAAAGAAAACAGGGGTCAGAATCTGAAAAAGCTTTAGAGGGAGTGTCTTATCTTTGGCTTATTCGTTGAGTCATGTCTCACCAGAAGCTGCTTCAATGCGGCTGGGCCGACGCTGAGGTCCAAGGATACTGGGAAATCGGGTTTTCTTCACCTTCTCTTCTCCTTCCTTTTCTGTCCTGATGCTTTTCTGTAATGTATTAACAACAAGGGAAGTGTCAGGTGGAGGATAAAGGGAGAGCGAGAGAGAGAAAGAAGGGAAAAACCACCAAAGGTCATGTTGGGTACCTTGATTTTGGGAAGAAAGTTGATCCTGACACGTTTGGACTCCAGACTTCGAGGTTCCTTCACCCTGACACCAAGGTGCTTCATGTATGTATAGATGACATACTGCATTGTAGTGCTAAAGGGAAACAAAAAGGAACAACGCTTTAGTTTAGTTGCTCCATTTGAATTACATCTGACAAAACAACAGGCTGCTAAGATCCGGAGTGTCCACATTGTGACTTGCACCATATGTCCTACAAGTCCTTCTCTACAGTTTCAACACAAACCATCTGGGTTATGCTGCGAACATATGGCATTTCAAACAAGACTGTATCAATCAGTCACACGTTTGAATTATTTAATATAAACACACTGCATAAATTACATGTTCTCTTTAAGGGACTGCCTGCCTGTTTGATTTGTAAACTGTGGGGGATCCGAATTTTATGTGCTCTTCAATAAACGATTAAAAACTACACTTTAAAATGTTGAAATAATGATGTTTTAAAAAAAATGTTTTTACAGGAGACAAGTAATCTAATAAAGTAATAAATTCAGAGTTATTTAAGATTAATATGGGACAATGTCCAAAACTATCCCAATCATATGCTTTAAGAAATACTCTCTATTAATCAACAGAATGCTCGACAATGTAAGTTTGCTTACCATTTCTCTTCCTCTGTGGGCTGAGTAGTTAACCTAAAGGAAAAAAACAAGCTGTCTGAGTGACTGATAAAAGTTTTTTTAGTAGAAATTGGTCTGCGAGCAGCATGTTTCTGTGTGTCAGCTAACCGTGTCGGCATGTGTACTTACAGGATGTCCTCTATCTTAGTGATGATGTTCTCAGCATAGGAGCGCTCCCTCTCCAGAGCGACACGGTCTCTGACTCGCTCTTGGTCCAGTCTGGCCAGCTCTACTTCGGCCACAGTTAGGCCCATACTGCGCTTCTGCCTACGTGTGCCAACACATCAAGTCACATGCTTTTGTTAAGATTGATAATGCCCGTTTTCATTTTCCCTGATGTGAGAACAAAAATCAACAACTTATAACAACTTACTAAACCATGAAAAAATAAAGAATCTGAGTGTCAAGTTCACCTGAAATCTTCAAGGTTCTTCTGGATGTCAGGGAGCAGAGACTCCTGCAGCGTTTGAACATGTTGTCTATTTATTTCCTCGGGGATCAGTTCTGTCCGCCGGCGGTCTGCAAAGACAGGCACAGACACTCACATATACAGTAGGCAGAGTCTCTAGCAGGATTAAGTCAAGTGCACACTAAAAAATTCCCTATTACGGCTAAGCAATATTTTCCAACCCATTAGAGCATTTGATTTCTTTAACACCTCAGTCAGGAGTGTGAATGGCTTACAGGGACTGTATAAGGAGTGAGCCAACAGAAGTACTAAAGGTGACCTTAACAAAATGAATGGCCTACTCAGAATGGCACCCGGCAAATTACCAAATATATCAAAAGCAAAGCATAAACTACTTACCGAGATCATTAGAGACGGATTCAGGGACAGCAACTTTCAAATTCTGTAAAAAAGAAATGAGAAGATATACCAATGTCCAGAAAAACCCTTTCAAATAATATTAAATGTCAATGGGAGCACAGATCATTAATCAAGGCACTCAAAATGACGTTATGACCTATGAATAATGAAATAGTCAATCAGTGGCACATAAATCACTTTATTCTAAGTTGTAAATGGGCAATTTGGTGTTAACTATGAGTTATTAGAGGATCATTCCGTGTTTTATCAGAAAGACCTCAGTACGATGTTTTTAGATTATTTTCGGACTTATAAACAAGAACCACAGATGTTGGGGCTGTGCTTAGCGTAATTAGCATCGGTGATGTACTGTGTGCATCTTGCGTGACGGATGATGAAGTGTTTGAGTCTGACGTGTAGTGTTGCCCATATTTGACAGTGGGGAACAAATAACGGCACTTACTGCTCCACGGTCAATGAAAAAGGTGTGCAGGTCCATGAACACCCGTCTGGTCTCTTTGGAGTTGGTCTGCTTGTAGAAGTCAGCATAGAGGTAGCACAGCTAAGGACGAACAATTAAGATGTATTAAGAGTGAGCGGCGCCGTCCGCCTGGTCGCACAGGAGATGAATACAGTACGGTGCGAGGGAGCTGGCGTCTTACCACAGGAGCAGCGTCGAACTGAGAGATGACATGGTGGAGGAAGGCGGCGAGGTGGGCGGGACGAGACTTGAGCTGCTCCATGTTGTTAAAGCTGTTACACTGGCCATTTGTCTGGAACAAAATAAGTGAGAAAGTTTCCACTCGTGAAACGTGAATTCGAATAGTATTTCTAGATTTTCTTGCAAAAAAAGATGTATTCTTACAGCATCGAGCTATTTTAAAATGTTTTAAATAAGACAGTTTTGTGACTTCTTCCTGTCCCATGTAACGTGCATCTTGGGTGACTCAATGACAAGTGCACAGCTCTTAGTAGCACCCAGCGCACACCTAGCATTAGAATGCGTCTCCACGCGTGTCCCGTGGCCACTTGTGATCGGATCTCACTTCCCCCGATTTATATGCAAATTAATACAAACATCATTTGTTAGGACCAAATGTGTTGTTTTTTAACCGGCGAGAAGCAGCCACACAAATCAATAGTGTCCTATTGTGTTTGGGAGGCTTGTCGTCTTATACGCACACTTCAGAGGGAAATTATTAGTTTTCCTCAAGAGAACAAGAGCGTGCGAGAAGATGGATGGCTTTAAGATGAGATGAAGGAAGCAATGAATGGCTTTCGCATCCACATCAACACCCCTTCCAACAGCGCAAAGGATTACCTCATTCGCAAGTTAAGTCCCCTAATCAACGGCCCGGTGAGTAATGCACACCCAGACACGGGTCGGTAGACAATGCTAGGAATGTGGCACAGACCGACGCTGAATGTGTCTAAATGACTCCTCCCTGAGTCTTATTTGCAGTCATTCCGGTATTCTGAACGGTCCACTCGGGATCGGATCACCCGAGACGCCGACTGTGAGTTTGCACAAGGACTCGTAATGTGGGAGGCCCACAGAGAGTGCAGGCCATTAAAGCAAACCCATCTCCATCAAGGGTTTCATTTTCTCAGTAACTAACTTCCCAAAATGTCCCTAATGATACGAGTATTCTACATGAACAATAAAACCCAGTGTGTGCTTCCTAACAATTAACTAGTGTGCATAAGGGCCCTTCAAAATAGTGTTCACCGGGGCCTGCTCTAACTACCTTTGACCACGGACATAGATGCTGCTACTACACTTAGGAAAAATACCTGCTCTTGGTCTGAATCAAAATAGTCATCCTCAGCTCCAATGATTTGCGAGACAAGGCGGAATGAAGAGGGACTGCTGACTGCGGAAGGGGACAGAGAATCCTGCGGGAAAAGACAGGGATAAAATGTGGAATCAGACTTTCCCATAAATACAAACTAATTCTCCATACGTATAGTTCAACTGATCTGATCATAGTTGCACTGACAAAGATTAATCATCAACATCTTTTTTTTTCGAAAAAACACACGTCAAATAATCTCTTGTCAGAGTTTACACCAGGACAGGGAGTGAATAAGTAAAAGGCCAATGAGCACAGTTACCAGGTCGGTGGCATCCTCTGCCTCTGGGGAGTAGCATGAGTTGAAGCTGTTCCTGGGAGTGCTCTTTGGGCTGTTGCAGGACGACTCTCTTGGGTAAAGGCTCTCTGGAGATCCAGGGCCAAACACACGAGATATCTGTAAGAAGGATGGGAAATAAAGCAGTTCGTAATATTAGGGCAGTGGTTCTCAAAACTTGAAAAATCTTCATGCCCCACCGCCCCATCAAAAAGTTTCATCTTCAAAAATAAAAACCTAACTAAAATAGTTTATTGTGGCTGTATTTAACCGGTTTTGCACACAACATCTTTTCAAGATAATAACAATGCAGTTCAACCTGTGAGAAACAAAACAAGTTGAAATATTTAGATTTAAAGCGTTTTGCGCAGCATATCTTTTCAAAACAGCAATAATGGGCGACCTGTGCAAAAAACATATTTTGTCCTTATTACAGCAATAAGCCTGCTTTCGACTTGTCTTATCGAAAAAGAGTTGCGGACTTGCAATTCACTCTCAATTCATGCTCAATGTTTAGCTTGCATACTTTTTACATTTTGAGAGAGGCAACAGCTGTTAATTAAAGTTAATTAAGTGTTTGGAATAAAATAATTTTGAATTTCCTCATGCGCCCCACCTTGTAATACTACTGCGAGCCACTAGAGGGATGCGCCACACGGTTAAAAGGCTCGCAAAAGGCTGTGGATCAGATGCAAACCGGGGTTCCTGCTAAAGACTCCACACTACAAGATGAGCTACTAGGGCGTGTTCAGTGTTCATACTTGACCCAACAGGAATTTCAATACAGAATCAATACATAAACTTAGTGCAGCCAAAGCTGAGCCGGGCTAATTAAGATTGATTTAACGCAAAAGGGACATGCAGCTATTGTCCTAAAGCTTGTCTAGTCCCGGCATCAAGGTTCCATATAGGAGGCGTTGAGGGAGGGGTAATTTGAACTATGTCGGTTAGTAGTACCGGCAACTTACAGGAGAGCTGCTCCAGGACAGATCGTGCTCCGTGTCCAACATGCTATCTGCATCTCCACCTGGGGAAACATCCTACAGATCCACATAAAACCAAGATGTTATCAATTGTGAACCACATAATACAACAACAATCGTCACAAATTACAGAGTGAAACATTTTTAGGGAGAAATAAGGCTAACTGTTTGTAAAAGTAGGTGAGTGTATTCAAGTATTCTCATAAAACAGGGACATTTCAAATTGAGAGAGCGGATTATTATGTTGACATACATAACACAAGGTTTAGTAAGTGATGTAAATAAAATAAGCTGCCACACAGACACAAAAGAGAGGCTTCCCACAGAAACAGTCTAATCCTCTGATAAGATTAGGATTAATGTTTGTCTGGAGCGATCCCTAAACACACAATTTTATACTGCTTGGATGCTGCTGGTACGACCAGTGTCCCTTGACACCCTATTCGGTATGCGAGTGCACGGCGATCAGTGGGGTATTTGATTTACCTGTGTTGCCCCAGTGGCCTTGAAAAGCTGACCCTGCAGCTGAGGAATGTGTTTCTTAGCTTCATGGATGTCTTTCAGTAGTTTGGGGGAGGGGTTCCTGCTGTACTCCTCCTTCATGGCCTTTGAAGCAAAAGAGGTGAAATCAAAATAAGCAATCGGGACCGGTAGCAAGCCTCTGGTATGGAACGGTTCTATTCAGACCAGGCATTGACATGCGCCTCGGGTGAGCGATCACCAGCGCGAAAGCTCCAAGCACAAAGTGTGAATGCACCAAGAAGAAGCATCGAGGTCCGATCGCTTGCATCACATTCAGCGGCGGCCACGTTCTTTTAGAGGTGTGTAGGCGAACGCGTGAGTGGCGGTGAAAACTCACTCGTCGGCTCTCTCTGCAGAATTTGAGAATACACTGGAGCCAATAGAGGTATCTAATGAAACCGTCAAATCTTGGACAATTTAATTTGCCCAGTACACAACAAGGAAGAGCACTAGTCTTTCTTTTTTCCTCGAGGATGTAGTGTGAATTTTCTACTTAGAGCACCTACCGGTAGCTCACTGGATTTTGGGTTGTATTTTCAAAAATTTGTATTACCAGTAGTATTTCTCTTGTCACATGAACAACGGAGTGAATGCTAGGTGGGAACTGACGTATTCAGAGTTTGACACTTGTATATAGACGTTTCATAATTACATGTCTGAACAGGGCCTGTGTTGGACTGAAGTGGGATATTTTGGAGAATACTGGCTTTATCGACTGCATATAACCCCAAAGTGTAAAGGGGACACAGTACCTGCCTCCTACCCAACACAGTGTTCTATTTACAAGATGGATGACAGCCGATCCTTTTCATTTTCAACACAGATAGTAACCCCAAATTACTTATCCTCAAGAGGGTTTAGATATTGCAAAGAAAAACACAAAAATACGTAAGTGGAAGGGATTGTTATGCTAACCTGTAGCTCCTGCTGCCCTTTTGTGAGCATCTTTTGAAACATGTCAACCCTCTGGTTGCAGACACTGCTGCTCTCATCCTGTGGGAAAAAACAAAACCAACAGAGGAATCGTGCATTAGACATCAGCAAAGCTTGCATACACACAATCAGGGTGCATTAACAAATGTTTAGATAAACAGAAAATATGTTACAAAGGATGATGTATCAAAAGGACAAACCAAATACGAGAGCACGGTGATTCCTTAATTCTGCTGTGGAGAAGATCCACCATTACAGGATTGACACTGAACAATTCAACGTTATTCTAGATAGCGTGCCACCAGGGTCGGTGTGCAGTGAGCCTGTAGTATATTTGACTATTACCGCCTCTGCTGACGCCGTAACTGTGACAACCCTGGTGCCCACTTCCCTGTCCATGCCTTGTTTTTACAGAACGGCAATGTGGGTGAATCTCACAACTATGTCAATGTGCACACCACAGCCACAATTTTGAGAGGCATTGATACCCAAATGAAACAAGTCAAGATGTTGAGGGGGTGAGAATAGGGAAAGCAAGTTTGTGGAGGCGAGAAACCGAAGTCAACCAATGTCTTTAGTACCCATGTTGGTTGAGTGAAGGAGAGGCGGTCCAGAGGACTGTAGGGGCGTTCTGCTGCTGGGGAGTTTGGAGAGGAAATGCTAACCCCCAGCATTTCAGACTCCGCTTCAGACAGAGGGATCTGGGCGAGCCCTGGAGGACGCCCCAACACCGTGAGGGCCACATAGGAGCCCGCTGGAGAGGAGAAATCATAGCAAAGAGTCGGCTTTACTTCAAGGTTTACTTGTTGAATTTGTGTTTTTGCTCGAATAAAGACAGTAAGACTTACATTTGATAAGTTTCACCACCTCGATGTGATTCGAATGTGTGACAAGGGTCCCGTTAACCTGGAAGAAAGCAATGCTCGTGTGAGGAAAATTGAGAAGACTGTGGCGGAGACCTTTCTGAAAGTTTCCATTCTCAGTTCAGCTTGATATTTCACTCTATTCCTCAGGGAGAGAGAAAGAGTGAGAGAGAGACATACAAACAGACCAGAAGGTGGCAGCCTAAAGCTTCTGCACTTGCCTTGGACACGAGAACAGTGGCCATAGAATCTAATCTAAAGACACTGAAGAAGATGTACACAGTACCTTGATAATCCTATCTCCTGTCTGAACACCTGCACGCATAGCAGCCCCATCTGAAAAAACACAGCACAGGAAAATAAATGATAAAGCAACACAGGAGGGGAGGAAAGATATAGAACAAATGCAAGAATGAAATGAGTTGACATTCGGCTTTATGGTGTAATTGTTGATATTCGTGCACATGATAAATAGATGAAGTCACCTTGACAGAACAGGTGTAGCAAAGGGACTATATGAGTGGCATTTTGAAAGACCATAACAGTAGTTATATTATAAGAAGGACCTGTTTCACAGCTCCACCCAAAACAAAGGGATTTTAGCAGGAGACGGGTTATTAAGAGATCCACGGCGGACTCTACAGTCACCAACATACAGCTGAAGAACAGATACAATATTATGATTTGCATTTTGAGTCTTCAATTTTGTCTTAGTTTGGACATTTTAACTGGTGAAACTAAACTAAGAACATAATGTTGTCTTATCAGATGAACTGAAAGTCGAAGTGTGAACAACAAAAGCTGCAACAAGACACTAAGAATACATTTTGTTAATTTAAAAGCAAAGTGATAAAAAATAGGTTGGATAAATTATTCAGATGAAACTAAGTCAGATGAGTGGAGTCGGGGACAAATGGGAAGCCAGATTGTCGAACACTCCCATTCACTGACGAACCTACTTAAGCCCTCGCTCAGTTCATCCCCTTGCTGTCTCTCTCCTCTACTGTACAGACTCAAAAGGTTTTTGTGATCGGATAACAGCCGACGTCATTCTCTGCCGAAAGAGACAGACCGCGGAGAAGACCACATAAGTATCCTGTCATAAGGTCCCTCTTTAAAAGACAGCGTGGTGAAGCAGGAGCTGCAGCCACTGTGAAACTACAGAGCAGGAAATATACAGTCAATGGCTTCAGACATGACATCAGTAAGTGCCAGAGTGCTGGTGTTTACCGAGTCCCAATTACCCTTCATGTCCATGAGTTTGTAGCAAACTGCCATGACAGTGCAGGAAAAAGAGAGCCCATTTATCTGTTGCAAAGTAGGTAGTCTAAAAACATATATTTTTTTGTTCTTTTAAGTTTGAGACTCCACCTTACCTTCTTTGACAAGCTGCACAAACACTGGGTTGTCACCACTGACAGTGAGCCCGAAGCCATTTTCATCTTTCTGGATGATTACACATCGTTGAACCAGACCTGCAAGTGAGACAGAAACACACAGCAGTGTCTTCAAAAGGATCAGGAAGTCAATAAAGAAAATGCAGCCAGAACATCACACATACAACTGAGCCTCACGGTGGACTAGAACCTTACAATGTATTTGGGTGGGATGCAAATGGCCGACAATAACATCCGCATTCCGCACGCAACTCATCTCCTATAGTCTAGGACTCTGTTATGAGGATAACAACATTACAACCTGAGCATGTAAAGTTATTAACCTTTGCTGTGAGGTTGGCCAGTAACATATCCTACACACATTGTCTTCCCTCTTATTTAGTGACAAAGATTTAAAGAAATACGCTTAAAAACGTAAAGGTTAGTCAGGAGGGCCCTTCTTTGTGAGATAATGCTTGAAAAAGGAATCCCAGACGTTTGATTGTAGTCTCGCCGGCAAGGAGGAACGTTACTTTTCAGGTTTTTTATTATGAGGTCCTGCATAGTGTGAGAGATTAGAGCTAATGATGTAATGCCTGGCTGAAACTGACTAGACTTAGTTCAGACAAAAGAACGTAGAATGCAGCCTGTAAAATATGAGTAGATTGTGCAATCACCTCCTTGCTTATCTCTTACACCTCTCTGAAAAGGTGGCCCTAGAGCCGGTTTGGTGAGCAGAATCCAACAGAGAAGTGAGTCGATTTAGATCAATGTTGTGGTTGGGAGAGTGGAAGGAACAGGAGCTAATACACACACAGTTTAGGGGAAGCAAACGCCCCAGGCTGGAGGGTCAGGCAGATTGAGAGGGTTAGGCAGAGTGCAGGGGCAGGGGGAAGGGAGAGGGGAGAGGGCAGGGGTGTCAAGGAAAAAGATCAAGCCATATTGGTTAAAGAACTGGTGTGAAAATGCCTCTAGATGTTGATATTTTGCTTGTGTTCTAACAGAGATTTTTGGTTGGTATTCATAAAATGCGAGGTTCACTGATCGGGTAACGCTTCCAAAGTAATGTATTATTCAACGGTTTGATTGATCTGAAATCAGTACCCTTTGCTAAAACACAAGAACACATCTCTAGATAATAAACTGACCTTTAATACTGACATAGCACTTTCAGCACCGCAATTGTAGAAAAAAGGAACCATTAAAATAGGTAATTCCAATACTGCGTACAAAAGGTCACACGAGTTTCCCTAAATGCAGAAGCCTAAATGTCTGAGATTCAAGGTCTGAGTTGCGTCCCAGTGTGCGGATCGGCCAAACGATTGGAAATTACGTCACTACGTGTTTGGGCCGACCCAGTCCAGACGTGTCCTTCACTAAATCGCCACGCCCTGTTACATGAAAACAAACAGCCAGGTCTACCCGCGATCCGTTTCAACATGGATAACGGATTAAAAGCATTACTGCCCGTGTCGTCAGTGCCGGCAGCTGTTATGCTGTTCATGAAGCTACCGCTGTACTGTATTACTGTAGCGATTGGCGAGCAGCAGCCAAAGTCACGGTCTGCAGCTTTGTCGAAGACAATGGACACGAAAAAGGGGACTTTTTTTGTTAATGCTTATTTTATTCTGCACAACTGCTGGAAAGGAACAGAAGCAGTGATTGCTCCTCCGTACGACAGAGACTTCAAGCGACTCGGCAGACAACATTCAACCGGAGGAAACTAGCGAGAGACGTGTGTTGACCACGTCTATTGAACTATAATAATTTGTGTTCGTATTAAAGCAAATCTCAGGTATGTGTGTGAGAGAGACGACGGCGAGACCTGCCGCCTTTTAACTAAGTTTGACAAATAAAACTTCTAAAACATTCCACACAATTTATCCGTTTGCGTGGGATCTTAAATATTAAGCATTATCTTTCAATATTCAAGACCATTGCGATACTATTAATAATCACCATAATATTGTCTGTAATAAAGCTACCAATCCACTTCCTGATGCTCATACCAGCACCTGGGCACCCAGTGTATGTGAATATCTGTTTTTGGGCTTGCTAGTATGTAACGTTTGTTTTGTTTTATAACCCTGAATAAAAATGGAAAAGTATGTAGTGTGTGGATGTAGCTAGATAGTAAACATCTGCATAACTTTATTTCTGATTATTTTAATTAAAGAATGAGAGGTCTGGCATACGATAGAAGTCCCTCAATTGAAAAAAAGGAAATGGCTTTAATGTTACTATTTTGTGAGCGAGTGTAAAAAATGTGTCACTTTTTAAAAGTTTAAAACCCTTTATACCTCACAACCTGTACCAGTTGTTGTGGTCAACAAGTACACTGAGCCAACATTTGGCCCTCTCCACATGATAATGACAATGTATGTTGACTAGATGCTTTGGCCACAAGCCTTGTGTCGACATTGTGAAACTATATAGAAATGGCAAAACTCCTTTTAATATCCATGTACCAGTTGAATCAGGACACCACCCAGTACTACATGCAACTCAGACCTTTGAACCACCATGATTAAAAATATGTGAAACAAAAAACATCAAATGGCAATTTCACACCGTGTTCTATAGCCATTATAGATGCAGCTGTCACGCAGGCCACTCCAGCAGGAGCATCTTACCACAGGACTCAGGCTTCCCCTCTGCTAGCAAACTGCTGCTGCCACTCCTCTGCACCACCAGAGCTTCTGACCAGAGCCCCCACAAGGCAGACAGCACAGCAGTATACAAACACACGCACACATACACACAACGAGAACCAACACAAGGAACAGGAAACACAGGAAAGAGAAAATCATGAGGGAGAAATAATCATGGGAGGAGAAAATGAAATGAACAAGCGGGTAGTTAAATAAAACATATCATCTGGACAGGCAGGATTGCAGTGGCCGAAAATGAACCAGCTAGATATTTGCTGAATAGTGCCTCCATTGCTATTGGGGACAATCTGCCAACACATTGGGACTTCAATGATAGTGGTCCTATTTTGGAAAAATTGGAAGAATCTTACGTTATTAATTTTCCGAGGTTTTTTGAAGCCCAGATTGGATTGTAAAATGCACCAGGATCTTAATAAAATAAACAGGATTTGGGATCCAAAAGGTACTCTGGCAATACTTCAATGGCCTTACCTAACAGAGCTTGCAGCAGGTGAAATTATATTCAGGTCTGTCTGTCAAGACCAGACGGTGGAAGTTGTGGAAGAAGTCCTGATGAACAAAACATAGTTCCTGCTAAAAACGAAGGAGGAACCGGTCTCGGTCCAAGCCTTTTAGAATTGTTCTTTATATTCTACACATTTAAAGATAAAAGCTTTTATTGTTCAGATCCTTGATGTGTACAGCCCCCCCCCCCGATTAATTTTTACGTCGTTATCCACCAATATTCAGAAAAGGTCTTTGGCAAAACACTATAGAATACTCAATTGAAGTAAACGGATAACCTTTGGCCTTGCTGATCGTTTAAACTGACTTGTTTATACTGATGATTTTTGGGACGTTCATAAGAGTTTAATAATCCGTTGCACCACATAACATAATCATTGCACATTATTAATTTGGAAACATGTCGGTCTTGGGGGCCAGCTGTAAAATTCATTATCAGAGTATCTGACTGCACCTGCCGACCCTTAATCCACTCCACCAAGTTTGAAATTGTGACAGAAAAGACGACACCAGGAGAACATCTAGGAATATTATCAAAGAGCTCATGCAAGTTTCAGAAAACTAAAAGTGTGTGAAATATAGAACAGCACCATGCAGGCATGCAAATCCAAACAGGTTGACAAATAATATTATCATGGCGACCCGAAGATTAGTTACATAAAGGCTAATTGGCCTTTCTGTGGTTACTCTGCACTTGGTTTAATCACTGCGCCATCCCAAAAGTGGAACAGACCATGAGAGAAATACAAGAGAAGAGGTTTTGGTTGGGCTCTACTCAACAAAGTGCATGTCTTGTGTAACCACTGAGAAAGCACATCGTGTCTATGTGGTGTTGCGTCACACGGAGATAAGCTGCCATGTGGTACAGAGTATTTTCTATTTTGTTGAGAATACAGATGTTGTCATATCGCGGGAGTGTCACCATATCAAACAGGTCGAATTCTGAACCCGAACAATGTCACCCTGCAATAAACTTGAAACTGGAGTGAGTAACAGGCTTAATGGCTTTTTGCTTCTGTCAAGTACGCATCGAGACCACCCAGCCACTCTTAACATACAAAACCCACAGGGCACCGATTCATGTTAAACTACAAGAGCCATGTGGACGCTGAACATGCAGCTGCAGATTTCAGAGTCCTTTAATCAAACCTTTCTCTGCATATCGGCTTAAAACCTGCACCATCTAAAGCAATATAAGCTTCTGCCAAACAGTTGGTATAATTCAGTGTAAGGAAGACTGAGCCAATAAACACATATCATGCTGTCTATTAGTTACAATACACACAAAATGAAAGGCAATTCCAACTGTTTAAAATAAGTTGTTTTCCTCCAGTGGTAAGACTCAAACAATTATCTAGATGAGACCACACAAGTCAAATGAATGTATAATTCTCAAAGAGAGCTCAAAGCACATAGCGGGATCCACACACCGCCACCTTTCACCATCCCAGCATGCCTTGTGCAAACTATCATCACCAAAAATGTGTCATGAGACTGTGTTTGTTAGAGAGAGAGAGAGAGAGAGAGAGAAAGTGATGCATACAGAGACAGTGACAGAATAGAAAGAAATGACATAAACATTTTTTTTAAAAGAAATAAGGAATAGGAGCCTGAGAACAAAAGCAGGAAGTTACCTGTAGGGTCAAACTCATTGGAGGGAAGTGAGGTTTTGTCACTTTTGGGTTTCTTGTCCGGGGGGTGGTCTTTACTGAGAATGCTGCTGGTTCTAGAGGAAAAAAACAAAAAAAAAAACAGGCATTCACCCGGCATGTACTATCATATGCAACACTGTAGTCTTTTGTAAGTGCCGTTTACTATAAGCAGTGTCATTCATTGCGTCTTGCTGTAGTGCTGCCGTGCGTGTGCAAAAGATGCAGGCAAGTGAAGGCTCAGGAGGAATGACACCAGCACACAGAACCGGCCATTGTTCACTGCGGCATTGGGAATATAGTGGCAAGATGACCTCCTAGTGTATGAATCACGGCGAGTGTGTCTACTGTATAATGTGACAGCCAGAGGATGTGGAGTCGCTCTGCTGAGTGGCCGGAGGAAAGCCGCCGCTCACAGGAGGCGCTGCGAGGCCAGACTCCCAGGCTTAGACCTCGGAGGCTGCTTCTGCCCAGGCCGGCCCCAACTGTGAAAGGCCACTGTTCTGCTCACAGTGAAAGGCAGTGACGGACCGCCCTCAGAAGAGGGACCCCTTTGTCCCTTACTCAGTATGTGTGTGTGTACATGAGTGAGACAGGAGGGGGTGGGGGGGTCTAAGCTCTGAAGACTTCTGTTGCAGCACAGCAGTTCCTACTTATACCTGCCTCATTTCCCTCATCTGGCACTCTGTTGATGTAAACCACTGGTGTATGTATGTATGTATGTGTATGTGTGTGTGTGTGTGTGTGTGGTGGGGGGGGTTCAAACCCCAAAACATGCATATATAATTGCAATCAAATTTAGGGGAAAAACACAAACTCTTACCTGTTTGCTTTCTTGGGAAACCTGCAAGATAAAACAGAAGGCTCATCAGTATCTCGCAGCATGTGATTTAGTAAACAACGGCTGAGCATTTATGCAAAAGTTGAAGCCACGCTGACAGCTTCCCCCTAGACCCTTCTTGGTGCAAACATGATAATCCTGATCAAACATCAGACTTCTTTAGCTGCAGATTAAAGCCTTTTCCAGGTCAAATGCCCTCTGCCTCTTAGAGATCAGCTGTGTGTGTGTGTGTGTGATGTGATTTAGTTCAGACATCTCCCGATTTGACTGTAATAATCATATCCTTGTTTCCCTGGAGGCAGCCTGGCCAGAGTGAGGGAGAGGTGAGAACAAGTGGAAGTGCTGTCGGTCTAATGATGGGAAAAGGTCACGCTTTCCAAGAAGTTAGACATCCAACACCTCTCTCCATCTCGTAACACCCCCCCACCCCCACTTCCATGTTCTAAATGGCTCCCCCCGTGTGAACACCTGAGCGACCGTTCGAATGCAACGTAACCTGTAGGAAACGTAAATGCTTCTCTGCTTATAAACCCAAACGCCACTGTACCGTTAAACAGAAATGACAGACAGATTAGCAGAGCGCTGCATCTATATATTGACTTGCTGTTTTAGCAGACGCTAATTGAAATGTCAATTTAGATTTTGGGAGACACGGCTGTGTTAATTCTCGCTGATTTCCAGAAATCTTGAATACATTTAAAGGGTCAACATTAATCATGTATTCCATCTGTAATACACATTCCACTGAAAGGAAAATCTCCTGAACACTTTCTGCTAATTAACTCTGCGGCCCCTCGGCTCTGAATTATTCCTGGTGGGGTCTGTTCCGCATGGAGGGAGACATGTTTTGCTAGTATCCTTTGTGTAGTGTGAAGGAGAACCGTTATATCACAAAAAGTGGTACTGTTACCAATTTACCATAAAGACTACGTTAAGATAGTTAAGTTTTGATTTTATGTATTTATTGTAAGGTCAATCGTAAATAACCATAAATAATCAAAGAACAAATAATAATTATTTATTGACAATAAACAATAAAAGTGAGTAAATATATGCTGGGATGGAGGTAACACGTGTCAAATACTTATTATTATGGTATTATTTCAAATCTAAATGCACACAGCATTATAATACAAATCAGTAGTACGGTCACTGAACCAGTCTTAGGGAGGACTCATGACTAACCAGCCCACATTAACTCTTTCTCCTGGCGACAGTGTGTCCCATTCAGAGCCACGCAGGGGCAGCTGAATGGCCCGTTTATGAAAATGCCTCAGACTGTAATAAGTTCCAGAGCCTCTAGCTGAAAAAAAAACCTAGCTTTAAGTAGCCCCCCTCCCTTAGAAACCTCTGAATTGGAGGGATGGAAAAGTCAGCACATAAACACACACACACTGAACTAGGACACGCGCTCATGGATGGCAAAACTGAGAATGCAGGTGTTGTTCTTGGATCATAGAGGAAAAAATAAAACGTGATAGGCAAACTCAGCTCTAAGGGGCTGGGTGACTACAACATGTTTTATTCATGTTAAAACAGTTAATAGAGAACTGAGAAGGAATGTTGTCCAGTATAATATCACTGAGCATCTACAGTTCAAATAGCTCTGGTGATCTGCCTAAGACGCATTTAAGGACGTGATGAAGAAAGACGGCAGCGACAGACCGAAGAGGACAGAGGGAACGAGACATCGAAGAGGTGGCAAGAGACTGAAACACTGGGCACCAGATGGAAGGTAAAAACTGAGTGAAGGAGCGACCATTGCTGATACTGGAGGTTATACGCAATGGAATAATTAAAGATTTACTTCCCAGAACACTGCAAGTTAAGTCAAAAAGCGGTAATGGTGAAAATCTCTTTTTGCAATCAGACGCAGGTACCGTAGGGGGATAATTTCCATTTAGAAATGATATCTGGGGTGAATCGGCAGGTAGGAGCTGACAGGAGCTGTGCAACAGTGCAAACGACGACAACAACAACACAGACCTTGGATCGACCGTTTAAACAAAGCACACAACAGCTAGGATTTCAACACAACTTAAAATGTAGCATCTATAAAGTGATGAGGCTTGATTGTTGTCTGAGGTCAATAGATTTTTTTTTTTTTTTTTTAATTCTCACAACAATAAATATATCGTGGCCTAAAACATGTTGCTCAAAGTGTAGGGAGTATTTTTAATTAATTTAATGGCCAATTAAAAGATGTTAGGTTTGAATTTAATTTCCGCCTGGGTGAACGAGAGCGCCACAGTCGTGTTGATATCCGCTTTTGAACCGCAAAAGAGAGTGCAGGAAAGAAAATCAATAATAATAATACAAAGATCCGCCAGCATCAGACTGTAACATAAGACGGTACTGATGGGGAGACAGCCGAACCGTAATGAAAAACCACAACAAAAACATCAGAGGCAGAGAGGGCTATTTCTAACCTATAATAGAAACCGTACTTTAAAATGGTTTTTAAAGTTTTTGACACAGAACAGCGTAGAGGCAAAGTTATTTGTACACAAATTGCACGTCAAAGTGTCGGTTTCAGATGGACACGTTTCAATGGTTGCTTCCAATAACTACGGCACCTCGGCTGAGGTTGGCAAAATACTTTATGCACAATGTGCCACTGGAAAAATGCCATTGTGTGGTCATGTCTAAGAAAAGTCACTGCAAAGCTGAGTGGTCATAATAAGAAGGTTCTCTCTTTAGTTTTCACTGAGAGGAATTGCTGACGCGGTCATAGCTCACATAACATCACAGTGCATCTCTGGTCGACCCTCATAATGGCTCCACATCAGTCTCAGTCCAGCAGACAACAGATGACTGTTCTATGTCCCGATGATACTCTCGACACTACTAAAAACAATAAACAACAGTTGATTCATCAGTCAGCAACTGTTGTCAGCAGAAATGGGCACAATTGTGGATCTTTGGACAAAAAAAACAAGCAGTTTGGAAGCTAAATGATTGAGATGTTAACTTATTAAATATAGATACATAACTTTTGGGGACATCGGAAAACTTTCAGAAAAACTGCAGCGGAGCCAATTGTGTGTATCTAAGCTTTGAACTTTTTTTCCCCCCTCTGACAACACGCTATTTAATGTTTCCCCCTAAAAAACATCATGTCATGCCGGGACGTCATGCCGGGATTGAGTTTAAATTTTCCTCAGCTCGTTTGATCCTTCAGATCCAGCTAAGAAAGTCTCCACGTCCGAGCTCTGACCTCTTTCTTGACTTGGTCCATTAAATGAGCGGGGAGTGAGGCAAAGGGAGAAAAAAGGGCAGCGTCAGAACGGAGCGGGATGGGAGGGAGGGAGGGGCAGCACTGGAGCGGGCCTGGGCTTGAATGCTCCATTGAGGTTTGGTGTTTTGATGGAAAACTGTGGCAGAGCCGGGCCAATGGCAGCAAAAGTCGCAGCAACAGAGGCCCGAGACCAGACCATGAGAGAGAAAAAAGTAGTGAGGGAGGTCCTGGGGGAGCAGGACTCTCACCCACACACACACCCCCACACACACACAGACACACAGACAGCCATTTCTGTGAACGAGTCTCCCAAACAGAAGAGGAAGGAACACAAAGTAAAGGAATAGAAACTAGACCCGCTCGTGCAAGATACAGGGGAAGCACTTCAGGTTATTTTTAGTTCCTCTTGGATTCAGTACAGGCAGATAAGGGGACATATATAAAGAGAAGTGTTCCTCAACATTGAATTATAAGCAGCTAATTGAATATTTTAATAAAAGCAAAAACAAAAGATCAACTTAAAAACGGATCATGGGGCAAGGATCAGGTGGACTATTGATGAAGTGAAGTTTAGTGACTTCTTGCAGTCAGACAATGTTGACGTTGCTAAATAAGAGTTGCAGCAGGAATCCAGAGTCTCCTAAACAGTCGAGCGACGCCGCGCTGAGCGCAGGTGTTGACGGGGATCGAAGAGGCGGGGCCTGTTTGAAACTAGGGTGGGATTGGATAGCTGAGTCATGCCACATAATCCATCGAAGTGTGTCTGCTTTTCAGCCTCCCTTTGCAAGCTGGTCTGGGATCTGACCTCAAGCATGTAATGATACGGTCTCTTGAACAGCCTGATTCATGGCTGCAGCCTCCCAAAAGGAATCACACACAGACACACTCCTTGTTATCTAATATATATATATACCTGAGTCATACAATGTGGGTGCACGCACAAAAACAGAGCTAGGATTACGTCACTGCCTTCCACTCCTTGCACCGAGTGAGTCTACACACCCATTCAGCGGTGCTCCTTTAACCCACCGCCTGAATAGAATCATACCGAAACACAGCAATGCCTCCTCGCCGCCTCTCAACGCGCAGCCTGAGCTGGTTTAATGACACGACATACAATGCTGTGTTCAGGATTTAAAGAAGGAGAACATGAAGTGAGTGTATGAGACAGACACTGACGGACAGACAGAGAGAGACAGACAGACAGACAGGCAGGCAGAGAGAGAGAGAGAGACAGACAGACAGAGAGGTGTGGTGTGTGTTGGAGAGACAAGAGCAATAGCTCTGGAGCTCAAGCTACAGCCTCGGGGGGAAGACGGTGCCCTTTCTGCCCCAATAAACCTCATCAGGATTCCTGACATGAGGGCCGGGGATAGACATTTCTTCACGCTACGCTGTCCGCTGTCCTGCAGCACCGGCAGAGGAGAAGAGGTGGTTCAACGTGCTACACCGTCTACACCGTCGCTGGTCACGAGGCTTGTCACGAACACCCAAGAACTTTTCTCATCCACGGGTCACTTTTTTTGTACAGAGGGTCTTCAATTAAGCTGTTATTAACTTATCCACTGTATAACTTATGTGTAAGAGTCCGCGAGAGGCACAATGACCGGACTTGATCTGATACCCTGTGGTGATCCCAAAAATGTGTTATTGGCTGCTGAAAGCAGACCTATGATGACATTTAAGCAGCTGCAACTTGTAGTTTGAAGCACGTGAGTGATACATCTCAGAATGGGCAGAAACAGGCAGTTAGATTAAGATTAATCACAGTGCCGCAGCAGGCTGATGCTCTTCCTCTGCAACACGGCCTCCTCTTACACAGACACCACATTCAGTCGAAGCACCCCCACTCTTAACAGCCTCGGTTTGACGCCCAATCAGCTACTACGCCCTTTTAACCGTACCATTTTCTCCGACAACGATTTCCCAGACATATTTGTGCACAAAAGAACAAATCCGTATTGTATGCATATTAATTTACATAATCAATTTAGTGTGAAATAATTAAGTTAACCAGAAAGACACGCAAGCATCACATCTCTCGGCATGCTCTGCAGAATATCGTGGCTTCACAAGTGTCACGCTTAGCTCGGAGGCACTAGCCTAGTTCCCGGCTAAGAAAACCCTTACATGGACATGTGGAGGGATGACACTCTCCACCATTGTCCCCCTGTTTCCCTCTATTGTAATCCCGGCTTTTGTGAAGTGAAAGCAACGTTTGGGCCCTGAAGCTCTGTCGGTCTAACGGGGCACGATTGTCGAGGGTGTCCACAAGCATCACCGTCACAGGGCTGGATGATAAACCCCGTCTCCCCCCTGCACTCAAAAGAGCCGGGCAATGCCGAGGCTTTACCCACAATCCAACATCACGACCCCAGAGGCATCGCCTGTTTCTTCTCCCAACCCTGCTATCTCCCCCTCGTTTGCTATCTCAGTGCGCCTGTATTTCCTTTTAGCCAGGCTTGTATTGACTAAGATAACTTAGAAGAAAATTATGAATACCCACACAAAGACGCAGGCCACACCACAGAACATTTGCACCCTCTGCACTTTTCATTTGTACAATTTATGAAGGCAGATTTGATTTGAATACTCCCTCCCTTTGGGCACGATGAACATGTGATGATGGCAGACGCAGACGGGCCGAAGCAAAGAATGGAACAAGCGATGGGTGCCATTGAGAGAGCGTGTGTGTGAAAAAGAGTGAAATGGCAGCTGGCATGAATGAACAGAGTGTGGTGAGAGCTGGTGTGTGTCTGCCAAAGTGGCATCCAGGTGTGAGCAGAGTCTTCATCAGCTCCTCATTCACCTTCTGTAAACTGAACAAAACTAAGAGTTTGGTTGGCAATTTCCTTGCAGACTAACTCAGGAGTTATTCATTTACAATGGACACAATTCAAGTGATAAAGAAATGCTTCGATTTCCAGCCTTTTGTCAGATGATATTGCAGACAACTTCTGCAAAGAGAATAGACAGCCGAGTGATCACCTGAACCCAAACGTCACCATGTTACCGAAAACAAAACTATTTTTCAGAGCACAGCGTTAAAGACACGACTGGGGACTGTAAACGCAGCGGTAGAATAACTCCAGGGTGAAGAGGTAGGTTTCAGAGCACAGCCGTTGCGTTGGGAGTGTGTAAGGTCTGGGACCCACGCTGCGTCTTCAACCAACTGGAAAACGTTACACATGTAGGTCGGGAACTGGCTGCCTACTCTTGTGCCAACTTTCCAGAGCACCGAGACAGGTTGCGCCCGCGGCTGCTAAGCAACTGTAAAGAAATAACACGACACTATCACATCACCTAAAACCTCGTCCGTGGGACAAATTGTAAAGCTCAGCTTATACCCATTTATCAAGGACTGATATTTGCCAAATAAAATGAAAAATATCTGTCGGCTGTGATTGGTTGTTCCTCGTCACATGACATGCTCGTTAATGTGTTTAACGATGTTGATCTCAGGCCGCAGCCATCGCGCCGTGAAAAACAGCCGCCGAAGCGGCACCGCTCCTGGTTTGAGCTCAATTTTGAGCTCGTCTTCAGTGCGTTTACATGGACAACAATGGATTGGAAGGCATGAAAATGTTCCTGATGAACGGCTATTTCTGTGCACACTATGCTGCATCATGGCATCTGTTTCGGGTGGCAATGGATGTACAATTTGTGCTGTTCATAGGCCTTCCTCCAAATAAAATGTGTTGTTCTACTCCCTTGTAGAAAAAATGCCCTTAATTTGAATTTAAATTAAAACATTCAACAGCTAATAAATTCAAGCATATTCTGCGTTCTATAATTTATAAGCAGGGCCCCCTGCGGCAGGCTACGAAGATGCAGGGCTTGCACACTTGCTCACAGCCTGCTGCTATCTATATGGTTGAGATATCACCTTTGTCGTAGGTCGTATAATCTAAATGAACTAGATACAAACAACCTGGCAAGATTTACGTCGGCAAGAGCTTCCCGTGACCTGAAATTGCTTTAACAGAGTATTATTGGAAAAAAATGCCTTCAGGCTACAACATGAAGGGTTTTTAAAGTAAGGAGACAACTGTTTGTTTGACCATCATTTCAACAAAACAAAAGATCCTTTTAGAAGTTTGTTTAACATGAGCTTGAGTTATTTCCCAACCTGCAAAGGATGGACAGTATCTTCCAGTAGCAGCACGCCTGTCAAGTGTATAACATTCTGCACTGCACGCTGTTCTGGGGCCTTTAAACTTCTGATCAGAGCTTAGAATGCCCCCTGGAAACTCATTTTAATGCAAAGTCCAGAGCTGCCGCTGACGCAGCTTCCCTAGTGTCAGTGCTGACTAGATAAGAGTAGGAGCATGCTGCATTATAAGGGAGGGATGCCAAATACAGGAGACGCGCATACAGCCAGAACTACTCGTGAAAACATCCATCATGAGGATTCCTTTTTCAGGACCGCAAAACATCAACTCCAGCGCCCCGTTTTGATATTTTGATGGTATTAACAATAAATTCATTATGAATATCAGGATATCAATCAAGCTGAGAATCAATAGATTATCATTTGGAATATATATATTTGACTTGACCAGTTTTAACACCAAGCGTTTGGTAGTTACAAAATCTCAAATTTGGGCTACCCTTCACTTTTTATTGGAACTTGTCGCCCTGACCAAACGGTTACGTTCGTAGCATTGATAATGAATCGATATATAACAAACTTGGGTTGCAACAAACAAAGTTTGGCATTAACTAGTCACATCTGTACTGAAGCAACGTAGCAATGAACGCATACTCCATCAACCCAGCCTCGCTGGAAGTACCTGCCCTGCACTGGTGGAGGAGCATTCGGGGGACAGACAGATTGCTCCCACTAAAGACTATTGTTTACTATTAGTGATGTCACCAGCACCACTTCCCGAGAGGGCCTCAGGCGGGGGGGTGGGAAAAACGTGGGGATCAGCAGAACTCTATGACAAAGGGCTAACAGCACACTAAACTGACCCATCGGCCGGCGGCCAAGCCCCAATAGACATCGGGCGCATGCTCCCACCATAGCCAAACGGGCCAAAACAGAATGCACACACAGAGGACGAGTAAGCGAGGACAGGGAAATACAAGCAGACTTAAGGAGAGATGGAGAAATTAAAATCAATAACGTCATTATCTACCATTGTGAAAAACACCCCTGAGATCAGCTGCCTGTCCTGACAATATGTTTGTGAAACAAAAGCACAGAGCTAGTTGTGTTTGCACGGTACGCGGCTATCACCATGTATCATTTTTTACGTTAACATAATGGCTCCTATCATGTTGTATTTGTAGAAAAACAATTGGGACTTTAAGGACACAGATTCACAATAACATATTCCAACCAATATACTGTTAATAAGGGAAAATAAATATACAACTAATTCAAATCTGGAGTCCTTATGTGCCGCGGTCATCTGGGATGACAAATTCATTGTGTGGCATCACTGTGTAAAAGGAACCTAATATTAGCTGCTTCATGGGATCAGGTACATCGCAGTGAGAGACAAGGGATCGGACCCCCTTGATTTTACTGACCATCATAGTGTCTGCGCGAGTTTAGTTGATCATGCCATCGGCAGGACTGTTGATTAAATATGTATATAACTACACATATACGTTTTGAATCATGCACGATAAACTGCACCACAATAGCAGTTGGTGTCAGCTACTGTTGCCATCATTGCAGTGGGGGAGGGGGGTCATTTAAAACAGGGTTGGGCTTTAGCCTCTAGCTCACGCCCCAGCCAGGAGGATATTTCAGATCCCAACCTGCAATAAAGCTCCTTTCTGCAGTGAATCTATTGACCACATTCCACTGTATTGGCCTGCTCTTCTTTCAAATATGTGGGAATCAGGTAGAAAAGCTTGATGGAATACTTCTCCTTTTCACCGCCAGAGTACGTCACATTGAGAATAGAAAACCTCATAATTCTCCAGAAAACATAGGAGAATTAATTATTGTACAGATGCAATAACAGAATATTAACATAACACTTATATTGCAGAGGATTATACCATTTACTGTTTTTTCTTCAAATATCGTCCCATCCTCTTGCCCGCTGGTCGAGTGTCAACTCTTTGAGTTTAAGTTGATGGATGCCTTACATAAGGTGATTAGTTGATGGAGCTGCAGTCTTGTCTAAAGCCAGAGATCGTTTTAATAGAGGTAGGAGCAGGTTGACGTTAAAGGCTTAGCTGTAATGGGGATGTTGAAAGGTGCACATGGATCCATGGTGTGCGCGTGCACACACACACACACACACACACACACACACACACACACACACACACACACACACACACACACACACACACACACACACACACAGGCAGGCCATCTCAATCCTTGGACAAGTACCACTTTGGTGTCTGCAGAGAACTCCCATTACCCATGCTGGGATCAGCAGAGTTTCCATCAAGATCTGATGTCCTTCCTTAGTAATTAGATTGTATAACATAGTTATTACTGAGCACAGCACGACCAAGGATTGCTTTACTCGGACCGTGTAGAACGTGTTTCCACCATAGCGTGGACTGTGTTTCACGAAACTTTTACAAAAATGTCTGCATGACCTGGTGCGTATGGGGCGCAGACAGTGCACGTATACAACGTAAAGGCCTTGGCATACTGTACCTGTCAGTGAAGCTGGACTGTGTGTCACTCATTGGGCTTCCGGTTCTAGATTTGCAGCAAATGATATCCTATTAACATTTTCCAGAGTGTGATGAGGCGATTTCCTGGCGCGTCCTTCTGTGGCATAAGTCTGAAGTAGGCAGGGGTCTCGACAATGGTGCTGAAGGTGGATTACTCGCAGGACTCAGTTGGGTTGTTGCAAAAAATAACTACCTATAGGCTGTTAGATTACACAGCAAGGAGTCTACAGTGCATACCTTAAACATTAATGGAGGGGTGGTGGGGGGGGGCTATGCCGCTGTTAGCTGTGCAGTCGGATGAGATACCACCCCGACTGTAAACAAAACGCTGGGACAAAATAATAAATACTGCGTCAGCTAGCACAAGTTGTCGTGCATGCGTGAACTCCGCGAGAGAATCCTCTGCATTCACATCCCAGAGTGAAACGTGGACGCGACGCGCACTCCGATGTAACCGACACCTTGTTCCCCCGGTTCGGTTCCTAAACGATCTCTTTAAGACGCTGGAGATTCCGCCAGTCCCATTTGGTGTCCCTCGTTCCGCAGAAGAAATGCCGGCCCGTGGCCGTGGAGAGGAGAGGACTCTCCCGTGACCATGAGAAGGAGGTCGACGCCGAGTGTTTAAAAGCGACGCGTTGTTACGAATTAGCAACAACTGCAGCTAACGTCGTACCGGCGTGAGACGTCAGATACAACGAGCCTACAGCGGGTCGATGGGTCAAATAAAGCACAATGGGTGGGTTTTGTTGTTGTTTTGTAGAAAATCCTTCTCACGGAAAGCTGGCTGGCCGTGAATCTAGTCAGCTAACTCAACAGCTAACAAAACAGATGAGCCCTTTCAGCAAAAAAAAAAAAAAAAGAAAAAAACTTTGCTCCGTATGCTCTTGTTTCGGGTGCAAACTACGCAAAGTCCGTTCACAACAACGAGCCAGCCAACGACTAAAACATACACACACAACACGGCGTGAATGTTGACTGGGTTGCGGTAACGTCTCCGTGGTATGTCCTTCAGAAAGTCTCCATGGGGAAAGAGCATCCAGTGAAGTCGGGGGGGGGGGGTTAGCACGGCGCTGCGCTCCTTGACTCCATGTTTCCAGGATTCAGTTGTTTTCTCGGCAGGATTCCCGTGGATGGGAGTGGGCTAGCTACGCGGCCAGCTAACGGGACGGAAAGTAACAACCGGGTCCTCCGCTTAGGCGACGACAAACAAAAAAATACACCGGAGAAACTTTTGGCGAATATAAAAAACGCCGTTTTTCCTCAAACGCGAGGCGTTGTTTGCTACGAGGATATAACTTGCGAGACCAAAGAAAAAAAGCGGTACCGAAAATCCCACTTTCTGCCGCTAGCAACGCCCTAGCCAGCTAGCTGTTGGAGTCCAGCAGCGCGTCCACGAGCCACTTCCGCCGGGAGACGGGAAAACTCGTTTTGTTCCAGCATGTCGGGGAGCACGGCTGGAAAAAAACAACACGATAAATAAAAACAACACTATGATGCCGCTGATTCGGCGACTTATTGTAAATGGATAGTAGCATCGGAGTATTGCGGTTGTCTTTTTTATGCATGGGCATTTACATTATGTTACTAGGTCATGTATGAAACAAATGGTGTTGAGCCGTCACCAACTAGTCGACTCACTCCGATTAGTCGACTCCCAGAGGGAAGAGAAATCGGATGCTGATATATTAAAAAATATATTTGCATGTATATATTGTTGGATATACATTTATATCTAGATCTATGTTCTTTTAAAACTTTTTTCTTTTTAATCTTTACTTATTCTTGTTTATTTCTAAAGAACTGTCTGTACAAAGCTCTGATATTTATGGATATTTATATATATATATATATATATATATATATATATATATATATATATATATATATATATATATATATATATATATACATATATATATATATATATATATATATATATATATATATATATACGGTATATATACGGTACGGTAAAAAAAAACGTTACGGTAAAAAAAAATATATATATATTTTTTTTGTAGATTATTTTATGGAAAAAGTTAAAGCAAAACAGCTAAGCAAAAAACTTTTGAAGTGCCAGAAGACATCCATCCTCAAAGGGAACAATTACAATCAATATTCATTGATCCGAGTAGCAGACCATTGGTAATATTTCGGAAAATGTACGTGTGCATATTTGTATTTTTACAAAACCAAGAAAAGTAAAGGTGTTTGAGATCAAGAACGATACAATGATGTAGTTAATGGCGTTCAAAGGGAAATCTTCTCCACTACTTAAATGAATCTGTCTTTTCTATTCATCATCGCATACAGAAATATACACAATGTTAAACTGTGTGTACTTCAATGCATAACAGCATTATTTAAACTGCAGGATGAAATAAATATACAAATTTTGTGAAATAGGACACTATTTTCAGCGTAAACTGCTGTAAAAGTGTTTGTTAATGTTTTCATTTTAGCTTTGTCAAATGTTTCCTCGCTTATTATTTATATATAATTGATGTGACACCATCGTGTGGACGGTCGAGGTAACTTCAGTCTCAGTCCAATAGTACAATACAATAGTGTTTTTTACATGAAATGATGCAAATGAGGCTTATTCTTCAGTTCTTATTTGATTTATGTAGTTAAACATGTATTAACAATCGATCACATCTTGATTTGACTTCACTCAGAGATTACAAAGACAAATTATGAAATCCACAAACTCCAAATATCTCTCTATTACTCCTATGCTTATGGTGGAGGGTGTACAGAACAGCACAATACAAAAAAAAACATCAGAACATAATGGAAGTACATTCAGATAACTAAGGCACACACCATTTCGTTTTTTTGCTAAAACGATAAAACGTTAATGCTAAGAAAAGAGACCTTGTATGAGCGCTGCAAATCAAATCTCCATCAAATATATCGGAAAATAAAGGCATTAAATACGCCACTGCAGATGTCAAATAATTCTATGATAACAATCGATTAAAGTCTGAGCACATAGTCGTCCAAAAATTCCCTTGTGTTTTCTGCCTGGACAAGATACGTATGTGAATACCAAATAGATGAATATATTTCTGATAATAAATATTGATTTATGGGAAATGCAGGCTAATTCCCACAATAAATATAACAACTCTGACAAAACTCTTCACACTTAGATCCATAAATCAAATACAGGTATTTTGTACAATATGTTTTGGAATGAGTTTAAAATTATTTTGCAAAAACACCGAATGGGATTTTTTCTTCCATATTTTTTTTTACTGAAGGTAAACTGATAACAGTCTGACATTTTAGGTGCTAAAAACAAAAGAAGAAAGCTTGATTTCACAGATTTTTTCTTTGTCCCGAGTCTGAGGCCACTTGGTTGTTCTTGACAGTCACGTGTGTTTGTCTAAAAGAATTAGAGGAAAGAGAACAGACATCTCCAAAAAAAAAACATTTTATGCTGCTGGACAAAATAAATGTAACTTCAGTAGTGAGCTGATGAGGACGCTGTACAGACAGCTCACAATTGACTTCAATCATCTCGTCTCTGAGACCTGAAACACGACTCATATTATTTGGGAGCTATTGGTGCAGTAACACCCACAACACTATACTTTTTAAAACTGGTAATCGCATAATCGTAAAAGTTACGCAATTCAAACTGTTCCTCTCCGCGTATCCCTTTACACAAGGGAAGTCGAATTAAGCAAATCCTTTAGCGCAGGCTCTGGAACAAACAGATTTAAGACCGCAAGCCAAAATGTACAGAAGTTGCTATGACGTAGATTAAACACAGTAATTGGACACATCACACACTTTCTCAGGAGTCCATCCCAACCGTCTGATGTGACTTCATCTCCCTGAGAACAACTCTACCACAATCCTAACATTTGGACATGACTGAAAATGTTGTAAACTGCCTCTTCTCCAGCATTGAGCCTTCCTTCAGAGCGCCACCGCGGCGTGCGACCAGGCCATGAAAGTGACATGTGTTCACGTGTTAGTGGAAAGTTCCTGGGTTTTCAGTGACACAAACTACATCGCTGTTGTTTTTCAACTGCGCATTTCACACGATTTTCACACGAACGTGTTTTCAGCTGCGATAGCTGCGTAAAAATGTGTCGTTTCAAAAAAACGGGTGCGAGCCCTTTACAGACAGGTGTCACACAAGTTTTTCTCGACATGGAAAACTAAGACTTTGAAATATGCCTTTATTCAATATCAATTCAACACACAAAAAGTTGAATTTCTTTGCGCTTTCCCTTGCGCGTCCAGAGGGGAAAAACACAAACAGATCTCCTTGGGAGAAGCACAAAGCCATCACTCTTTCTTCCCTTCGTGACCATTAGCAGCCACCGTCTCTAGTTGGTCCGTCTTGGGTCTGTGCCAGCTCTTGCTCTTCCGACGGGCAAATCGAACAATGTCCACCATAAACACCCAGGACAGCGCGTACATGGCCACCCCCCCGCACTTGATGAAGAATCGGGGTCTCGGGGAGATCAGCTCACAGTACAGCATTGTGCCTCCCACGAAGACTCGCATCAACACAAACAGCAGCACAAACAGGACGTCCACGACGTCCCCCAGCCGCGTCCCGTAGCGTCCCGTCTGTTTGAGGAACCAGCGGGCCTGCAGGAGGGGGTTGGTGATTTCGCTGCCAAAGAGCACCGCGCAGGACTCGATGCCAGACTCGCCCAACCACAGGGTGAGCAGGATTCCAAGGATGCTCATGGTGTGGTGGGCCAGCATAACGGGTCCCTCTGTGCGGAAGTACACACACCAGGCCATATCAAAAATGAAGTATCCCAGGCTCACCACCATGGCGCTGATCTGCAGGGGAGTGTTCTTAGTACCTGGCAACAGAAATAAAACTGCTTTTAGTGGGTATATCTTAAACACGAGAGAACAGTCACAAGTGAAACGCACAGTTGTTACAGGAGCACATCGTTGTTGATACCAACACATTGAAAATTAGCCCTTCTGATTAAGACGTTTGTTACATAGCGAAAGACAAACAGGAGAGGTCAAATTATTTGGTCACATGTCTGAAAATCCCTCCAATTGGTTTGAATCAAAATGTAGCAGTTTCAAGCACCATTCCTTTTCGACGTGCTAAACAATGTGGAGCTGAAACGATTGACAAAAAATGCATCTGCAACTATCCCTAACTGTGTTGATCATTTCAGTCCACACGGGGTTAAGGTGTCCTACCTGGATAGGTGAAAGGCCAGGGCCCGTCCACGTAGCCAATGTATCCTGTGATGCAGACGGCCAGGATGCCGTGTGCCAGCGTGACGAGGCGACAGTTCCACTCGTAGCTCCTGGACCCGTTCAGGCTGCACAGGATGAAGTAGAGCGAAACCCAACAAGAGATGCACAGGAGAGCACCGAGCACAACCACGGCCATCTTCTCTTCTGAGGACAAAACAAAAGAGGGGGGAACAAACGCTAAAACCCACGCGTTTTCACTCGCGAAAAGCCGTCTCCTCAGAAGTCATCGAGCCAACTTTGAACGGCGCTACTCGGAAAGGCGCATCTTGCGCTGTGATATCCCTTTACAGTAGGACGACACTGCATTACCGTCCTCGGTCTTGGACTGTGCAATCCTTTGTAAGAGAGCAACAATCCGCCTTTGCTTGAACTATAATAGCACTACAGTTGGCCGGCCCAGGGTCTGGTGGGGTGAGGGGGACGTCTCTTCTTCGTCTGCCGTGACGTTTGTACTAGGAGGTGAGACCATGCAGATGGTCTGGAACAAGATGTTCACTTGAGTGTCAAAGACTCGAAGCATTTCAAAAGTAGGTAAGAGGTTAGTGGGTGCGAGGCCTCAGACCGCTCTTACCAGAGGACGTTCTTTCAGTTCTAATTTAACGCCACGCGTGATCATGATAAAATGTATTGCTGTTGACTATTTGTGCAGATGTCAGGGTGGCATCGTCACATTTAGCCAGTTTTTAATTTTCTGGCAACATTCAAAATAGGGTGACAACTACAACATGTTTACTCTGTTAAAGATTTTAAAACGTCAAATAATAGTGAATATGTATTCAAATTGCTTGTTCTGACCAACCCAACAGTTCAAAGCTCAGATAGTTGGTTATATTTTTAATTAATTAATCAAATTGGAGAGTCATGGAACGTCTTACGTTCGCTTGAAAAAGAATGATGAATCCAACAACACAATGTATTTAGAATTTCTCCTGTGAGTTGGAGATGTGTGTGTTCTGTCCAAAGCAAAAACAAACAAAAAGACACAAACAAATCCAACATGGAATCTAACCAACGAATAAATAAAGCAATACAAAGTGAAACCATAGTTCACATATTTCATATGTCCGCAGCAGCTTAGAATCATTCCTGACATCTTGTGGTTGAGAAACGTGGAGGTCACAGGTAACAAGAAGACACGTAACTGGGACATTCAACCATCACGTCGTCTTCATGTGTGGCCCTTCGCTAATTCAACAGCACCCAAATAGGTGGGCCCCCCCACCCGTGAAAGGGGATGCTCTCCCCGGTAACGTTACCCGGTTTAGCTGCGTCAGTTATGCTAGCACAGACTAAGCGGCATCAAGCTAGCGCTCGAGGCGCTAACGGCTCCTCTTTCTGCCGGAGAACCGTCGCGCGTTCACCGGCGCAGCGGGACACCATTACCTCTGGTTCGTGGACACGTGACCGGCCTCTTCGTTCACATCCTGCGTGGACGTTCTCCCGTCAGCCTATCTTTCCGTGAGGGTCTCTGAGGGAAGGTGTCAAAGGTTGTTGTTGTTGTTGTTGTTTTTCAGGGAGCGGACCCGGTGCCTGCTGTTTGTCGCCCTTGGAACGCGCAGCCCTCTTCAGCATCCCCTTATTGCCCGTTTCGCCGGATTCCGCATGCGGATGTTGCAACTCATTCGAGTCGGATTGGTGGGGATGTGCCTTGTTCCGTTACCCCGGAGTAAACTGCGGCAGAGAGATTACAGCGGCTTCATTTTTTTTTTTTTTTAAAGAAGACCTGTTTCCATCCTTCCTGCTAAGCAGTGGGAGGTCGCCTCATCTTGCTTTGAGCAGTGGCGACACCGTGCGGTCAATAACAGGAACTACAAACACCTTCTCTGGCGGGGGGGTGGGGGGTGGAAGGCATTGTTCATTCATTATTTACAATACTAATGGTCTTACATATGTGATAAGGGGCTGAACAGTAGTGTTACGGTTGCAGAGCTCATCTTCATGACTCACTTTCACGCTTTCACACACGTTGCTGCAGCCTAAAGGGTCGGTAATGTTTTACACATTAGCACAATTGTTTTTCAAGTTAATACAAATTGAACATCCGGGGGCATCTTGGTTGCCGAGGGTTTTAAGATGCTGATTATGTTGCCCTAACATTCCCCATGGAGTGTATCCTACAATCTTTTCTAATGATGGCCTTTCTCTTACCATCCCTTATTTTCTGTCAGCCATCATCTGTAAATTGTCTATTAAAGACATGAAATGTACATTAAATATTAAGAAAGAAATCATTCTGACGATGAATGCAGTGCAAAGAAAGACTTTATTTAAATTTCTGTAAAAATCTTATATGGTACATTACCTAACTGCTTAATTGTATCCAGCTTTTTAACAACATTTCTCTTTTCACAGAAAATCTATAATAACAAAGCAAAGATATCAGCAGAAATGTTAAGGCACTTTTTCACAAGTAAAGGTCACGAATAGAAATATTCCACTCATTTGGTTCTTTAGTTAGCGTGACATACCAACTTACAAAACAATGTTTAGATATGGCAGTAAAGTGAAGATGGATGTAAGAAGAAAAATATATATATTTACTTTATTCTACTTCTCTTAATAACTGACAAAAAATAAATTTGGTCCCACAAGTTATAGAAATGCTTCTTGAACTATGCATGAAATATTATTAGGGATTTGAGCCATATAAATTATAGCCCTTTAACGGCTGAGATGAACAAACAAAACTGAAAAGTAAAAGCATTTAGTAAACTGAAGAACGGTTTAACCAGAAGATGGCAGCATATGTTATTAAACAGGCCATGCTGAAGTTTTAGTGAATACCAGCATGGAAAACAACCACAGAGAAGAGTTCAAGACACTGAAACGTTGGACCCTTCTTTTGACAGTAATGCCTCCGACTTTGGCTTGTTTGGCACTTGGAAAACAGAACTAGAATGAAAGCGGTGGGCATGAATGATATTGATTGATAACTATCATATCTAAAAAGAAAATAAATGTGTCCATCCAAACTCACGGTCAACCATGAAAACTTGTTGTCAACAACATAGCGTCCAATGAGGACGAGTCTAGAAACGACCTCCCAAACTCAGAGGTTCAAATGTTCTGACATGTTACTGAGGGCCTGTGGTTTTGACTGGAAGAGCTTATTTAATGCAAAAATATACAAAAGTCCTCAATAATTTCACTTTGCAACCAAAATAAATAAAGCCAGCATCGAAGAAGCATTTCCTGTTTTACCTACCAGCTGACGCGGTTACGAACAAACTGGCTACACACAGTTTTTCACAGAGCTTCATAGGAAAGAAAACTTCCCCAATCGAATGTTTTCCTTCACCAGGATGGTCAATTCTGTTTGTCCAGCACGTCTCCTGTAATCACGGTGGGACTCTGTAATCCCTTTGCTGGCGTTTCATTGACCAGAAATGCACCGTCCATCCTTGTGCATAACGTAGCTCGTTTGGGAGGTTCTGGTTGTTGACATCTGTAATCTGCTCCAATTATTTACTTCAGAAAAAAAAAAAAGGCACAAAAGTGACCGCTCCTTTGCAAAGTCACATCGTGGTTCACCACGATATGTATTGTTTCCAGAAAAGGCTTAAAGTCAGTGGGTCCTCCATGATCAACGCGCTGCAGCTCTCCTTCCTCAAAACGTTTTGGTCTTAATTGGAACCTGAAATGATTTCAGTTTCAGCTTGAACATCTGCATCTCCCCACCTGAGCAAGTTTAACTTCAGATCCACACAAACCGAGTTTCGATCGGATCAGTTTGGCTGGGAGAAAACAAAAAAAAGTACTTCTCTTTTCCTAAACCACCAGGAACCAAATGCTAGGTCTCTTCGTCCCATAGGCACAACTGTTTTTGGGGAACATAGTAGGTGAAATGGTAGCCCTTGCTGCAGCTCTTTATGCCACACTTGTAGGTCGAGCTTTTTCCCGTGGTGTCCCGGCTGCGGCAGTACTTCAGCAGACACGGGTACCACTCCAGGCGCAGGCTGTACGTACAGAGACAGGCCTGCCACAAGTCTTTAGTAGAGTGACACGCCTGGAAGCCGGGCGCCTCGGCCGCCTGGGGCAGCACCTCGAACATGGAGCCGTCCACTCCTGCAACAGACAGACGTGGCAGGATTATCAGACGAGTCGCGCGAATCACCGATGAGTTTGTGCGAAATCGAGGCGAGCAGGACAAAGTGGTGAAAAAGGAGGGCGTTAACGCGGTGAAAGGGCAGCTTTGTTATGCAAAGGAGATGCTGGTGCGATTCCCTCAGCTGATAATGGCGCGGAGCGCCTGGTGAACCGTGACCGTCGACATTGTTTCCCCCTGTAACAGTGCCGTCGGTGGACAATAGCGCTGTCATTAGGATTCTCCTCAGCCGGAATCATTTGGACACCGTTGCTGTTACAATGCAGGGTGCCGCTTTCGAAAAAGGCCGCTAACGGCAAACTGTTGATGGGAATGTTCTAATCTCGGCAAGTGTGATAATTGTACTAAATGTTTGCCGGATATTTCGATTGATTTACGACGTATCGAGTGGAAGACCGAAAGGAATGTAAAGAGACACAGAGGAGGGTAAACACAGATAGCAGGAACAGTAATACAGCCTTATCTAGAAAAAGCAGGAGATAGCTCTAAGATCACCAAAATGAAGTTGGGAAGAGGCGTTTGGCAGATATAAACAGGGCCGATGGAGAGCATCTGGTCGATAGAGACTGACAGTAAAGAGATAGAGCGGATAGCCAATCTGGGGGGGGGGGGGGGTCGCTGTCAAGAGAGACGAGAACAAACAGGTGAACAGAGAAAGAAAATAAAGACATCGGAGTGCCAATATGCCACCACAGAATTTACGGTTGTTTTTCGATGACATGCCAAACACCAGATGACCCCTGACCTTTGTCCAGCCAGTGCCTGACATCAGACTCCCTGGTGTAGATGGCCTCCCCGGCCTCACTGCACATGTTGTGAATGTGGGCGCTGAGCTGAGAGGCCCGACTTATGTTGACGGCGGCGCTCATCTCCAGCTGCTCCAATCCTCGCCGCTCCTCTGCCAAGCGAATGGCCTGAGGGTTTTTCTGTCACAGACAACACAAATGATCAGCGTTCACACGCACAGCTGCTCTAAAGCAACACAATAAAAACAAAAGAAGCGCAGATTTTTGCAAATTGTTGACAGGAGACACGGCGCATAACCTCTGCTTGACGCCATGACATCATACCTGTCTGAGACGGGCCATGGACTCGCTGGGGATGATCTCATTGCGGCCCAGGCGAGAGATGAAGCACAGGGCCTGGTACTGGCTCTGCCCCCTTTCCAGCTCGCCCAGGATCAGCGCTCGGAATATCTTCACATCCTGCGAGACATAAAGGAGATCAGAGATGACTGGCTGGACGGGTAAACAGAGGATTCCCAGAAGACATTAAAGTGCTGCATGAAGCCAGGCTGTAACAAGGTACAGTTTATGTCTCTGCAGACGCGTCCAGATTGCAACAAATATTCTTTCCATTCCGGCAGTTCATGTAGACAGAGTAATTCAATACGTGGAGATCAGAGGGACAAACGTCGGCCTCCTCTGACAGTTTGTTGATACTTTTGTCTGTAGCTCTTCACGACGTCGCTGCAGTCGTGCTCTGGTTATTTGTACCGTCAAATTAAGGCTCCGGTTTGACAAACCTACAAGAGTTTCCTTGCGTGCTGTAAAAGTCAGACGCATTTTACCACACTGATTCATGTGGAACTGCGGAGGTAGGAAAATAGTGATAGTGGAGAGCCCCCCCCCCCCCCACCCCCACCTAAAAAAAAAAAAAAACTTACTGCTGAGAAGTGTGTGAGAGATCTGGCGCCAAACCCAAGGCCATAAAGAGTTCTGTGAGAGGGCATGCAAGGCATGATGGGAAGCTCCAACAGTGAGGGGGGGGAGCAGAGCCGCAGACCTGTCCTCAAATTCACCAGACACCCCCCTCCCTCCCCTTGCTGGCTACAGCTTCAAGACAGATACACGGTCGCAAACACCCCTCCTCCACTTTTCACACACCCGTCTGAAGCAAACCGGCTGCAGAGGAGTAGCAGCTTGAAGGCTTTCACTCCAGGCGCACGAGCGACCCCGGGAGAGATGAACCGCCCCGAGACGACACCCCCCCTCCCCCCCTCCTCCCTTTCAAGTATGCAGAAGTGAACAGACTGGCAAGGAAGCAAAAACAACCTGCCGTGGACGTGTTTACGCTCTGTCGTTCATTATGGACTACTTTGCACGATCGATGGTTCCTCGAACACTTTGGTCCGTGAGGGAAGTTTCTGGCGAGCGTGCAATACAGGAACGGGTATTACACAAGACAATCACGCGTTGCCATTTGCCCCGTGGTAAAGCAAATTACTGAGCAAATATTGATTCACAAGCATTACACAAGAATGACCTCCCTCACATAACTCTGTGAGCCGGTCAGGATATTAAAACGTCAACAAAAAGGGACTAAACACAGGGAGAGCAACGTCAGAACCGCTAAATAGATGATCTGGAGACTACAGGTGGCGTTTATATTACATATAGTAAATGTTCGACTGCACAGAGCGCCTTTTCCCCTCAAGTGTAGGGAGACGACTTTAAGACCTCCCATGTTGCAGACACATGGCGCTACGACATTGTGTGCATGTGTGTGTGTGTGTGTGTGTGTGTGTGTGTGCAGAGAGAGAGGGAGAGACGAGGGGAAGGCATTTGTGTCAGCCACATAGATTTGCCCCAGGGCTCCCTGGGTAATTACAGAGAAGCCGAGTAGCTCCACAAACTCCCGATTCTTTGGATCTTCCTCATGGGCAATGTTTAGAAGCCGAGATCTCCTCCTCCTCTCGTGTCATTATGTGTCCAGATTAATGATTGTCTACTTCTACAGAGCAGCATTTGTGTGTTTAGGCCAAAAGGTCAACAGGAGATCAGTCGTAAGTAGTGTGGCTTCTTCTTCTGTAGCTTTTCCGTCATCTGCACACAATAGATACTCGTTATCCACCAACTATCTGTAACCCTCGGTGCCAATAATTGAATCACACCAGGTAGAACGAAATAAAAGTTAAGACAGTCAAAAAGTCACCAGTCAAATAATAAAAGAAAATAAATGTTTAATTTTGGCCTTTAAATTGCAATAACAAACCAGTGCCAATGTATAGGCAGTTTATGTGCTACTGTGATTTAAAAAGAAAAATGCAGTAAAAACAATGACATCATCGTCACATCTCCTTCCAGACAGAAGCTGCTGGATTCAACTGTTTGTTTGAACAAGACAAGCCACACTTGTGCCTGCCTGAAAGCAGCGTATGCGTTCTCTGACTCGTTTGTGCAGACGCATTAGAAAAGTGTGGTAAAAGAAACAAAGAAAAAGAAAATCTGTGGGATCATTTCTTTGTCAGGGAATTATGCAGACTGAATATATTGGGATGTAAAAAACATTTGACAGAGGATCAGACAAATATGACAGAGGCAGGCGTCAAAGTTCCTGTGGACTAACAGGAGGGAATATCAATTCCCATGCGGGATTTCATCCGCGCTGCTCAACAATGCCCAAATATGACAGAGTCAATGCTAGTTAGACATTTGAATAGGAAAACACTAATTCTACTTTAGAACCTCATAGTCAAGTGGGCCCGCAAGAGCTGGAATATGAAGAGTAAGGCCATTTGAATTCACAACTACTCCTTAAAATAAGTGAAGCCTATATCAGGAGAATGAGTCACCCAGTAAAAATGCATTTCAACAGACCTACATGAAATGAAAAGGTTCGCTCACCAACATTTAGAGAAAATCACCAGGTACGGACACAAAAAACTAAAAGGCTGACCTTTGCCGGTCTAGAAAAAGGCGAGTAGTACCATCATGAAAAAGGACATCGAGGCCTTGAGTTCACCTCCTACCAGAGTAACGTAAATGTCAGCTCGGCTATAAATAATTCACACAAGTACAGATTCCTAAGCATTGCTCCTTGACACCCAGGACGTAGTCCGTTTGGAGACAAACTACCACTGGCCAACAGCCAAACACAAGTCTGTGGGTAAGACTACGACCTGCTAAACAGAGGAGGGCTGGGAGGCTGTTTCATTGGTGGTTACCTTTGGTGGGTCAGGTTATTTAAGAGGTGCACAAAAGCCTATTCACACACACACACACACTGAAAGGCTGCCATTTACAGTGACCGCTCTTCATCAGTGTATCCGTATCTCAGCTACACTTTTAGCTGGTTTCCAGGCTGCAGAAATGAGATACGCGGAGCCCTAAAATGAGAGAATTATCAGGTTATTTTCTATTAAAAGCAGTTAATCTAGTGAGAGAGCCGCTGTAACACAACACATGCACGTCCCACTCACAATTCTAACTGCCAGCTCACACTCCAATGCATTAATGGACATTCCAGCACACACACATACAAAAACAAACAGTGTGCCAGTAGCTCTCCCCTGTGCAGGAGGGCCTTCCTGTATTTCAATCCCCTCTAAGTCCCCGTCTGTTGATAAGGCTGATGGCTGGCTGCGGAGGACCGTCGGTCAGCCACGCTCTGATGGCTCATTTGGGATCACCGTGGGTATTTGAGTCGGCCAACTTTCAAGCAAGCCGACAGCAGTTTAATAACAACCTGATGACTCTTCTTTTTTTTTTTAAAGACTTTCTGCAATTTACCGAGCAAGACAAGCTAGAACAGCGTGCGGATTTACCCTGTTTTTTGATGGAGAGGATGTTTTTTTCCTGGGCAGCCCGGTCCAAAAGCACAGGTGTAGGGGAGGTGTGGGGGATTAAAGATCATCTTGGGAGACGCAGGGGGAGAGAGGGTGACACGCACTCACGCAGACAAAAGGAGTGGGAGAAAAGCCGCTACGCTAAGAAATGCTTGAGTTGAAGCTAATTACATAGGCTCCAAAAGGAAGGAATGTGGAGTCACATCTGAGCCGGTCACACCTGGCTGTCCAAAGAGCCGACCAATTAGCAAACAGTGGCACTGAATGGACACTAAAAACACTAGAGGCCACAGAGAGAAAAGGTGTCCCCCTTGGCTATTGGATGGAAACTCACCGGTGTTAACATAAATACACACACAAAACACTCTCTTGTGTGGACTTTGAAAGTCTTAAAACCTGTGCAAAGTATGGGAGGACCGCAATGAGGGAACTTTTCATTCACAAAAAAATCTGGATGCAATTAACCAGACACCCACACAACTGTTTTTTTGAGGACGTTGCATTCAGGAAATGAGAGGGCCGCAAACAGTGGGTGCTAACAGGGAAGGAAATGAGGCATATGGATCAGGCGTAAACAATGGAGACGGCTACAGCCTCATTCAGCCGTGAGCTGTTGTCCCACAGCTTTCATATCCTGTTGCAGGGGACAAACAAATAGCTTTTTAATGAGGATGCATTTAAAATGGTCTAATTTCTAAAAGTTTCAGTTTAGTATGCGTGATCCAAGGAAAGGGGGAGGTCCGTTTTATTGACCTTTTTACAGAACTATTTGGAGAATCTTCTTTAAAAACAAGAGCCAGAACCAAGAACCAGAACAGAGAAAGGATGATGTAATACCCTCCATGGTGTGGAAACATAACTTATGCACCAGAACTGAATAAACTGTCACAAAGGTTGCGCAGTGAGATCAAGCATCTATTTTGAATCTTAGCAAGTTGAAAATGCAAAAAAGGACACGGCCATGAATTTGACAAATGGACATTTCAGTGCAGAACCGAAGCTTTAGAGGAGTGAGCCAAACCTTTTGTTGGTTGTTTTGTCACCAACTGCAAAATGAAATCCTCTGAGGTAAATAAAAATGATCACAACTGTGCACAATGCAAGCCCCAAACACGGCCCGTTGCCATACACCCTGATCTGTCCCCAATCTATCTATTATATATATATATATATATATATATATATATATTCAAAAAGTAAACTCTTTATTGCTATATCCTCTATACCTGCATGGCTGTGTGAATGGGAAGCCTTTTCTTTATCGGCAGCATTACAGACGAACATCTGGCCTGCTGGCAGGAGGAGGATAAAGACATCAAGAGGGTCTGAGGGGCCGCGAGAGGCCACCGGGTGCCTACACGGGGCCTTGATGGGCCACAATAAGGCCATAGAAGAAGCAAGTTTGCTGCAGGGAACAAAGGTTGACGAGGAGAAAGATTAAGTGCGTGAGTTTGACTTTGAAAGGACCCACTGTCTGCACACATTGCAATGGGACAAAGTGAGCACAATACAAACCACCCACATCTGAAATCATTTTCAGGTATAAAACGTTATCTGTGCATTCGTTTCTCCCCGCAGAGTAATCCTTAAGCGGATATTCATGTCCTCAAATGTACAGTAGAGTCACTTTTTACAGAAGTAAGAGTCGTCTCTCCTACATTGAAAGGAGCCATAGCATGACAAGGGAAACATGTGGAGACTACAATTATTCTAAAAAGGTACTGTGGAACATAAATAACAACAAATACAAGCATATTTTGTGAGACGGTTGTCCAACAAAGATGATTTTTTGGTGACCAGCAGTTGAATCACTGTGACCTTTGACATCGGCAGAGGGGAGAACTGGTGTGCCCCCGCGAGGCGTCCTAAACGGTGTCTGAAAACGACAACATGTTCCTCATCAGGTGACACTTACCTTTAAAAACAGACTTTACAAGTTTGTGCAAGTGACAAAGTGCGATTGTGTTCCAGGGTAGAGTGGGAGGCGAGGTGTGGCCGCGCTGCGCTCAGGGAAAAACAACCGTCAGTGGCTTCGTGCGGCAAACAGCGCCTTTTCTCACAAAACGAGAAAAAAAAGGAGGATAATGGATTGCCAGCAAACCTCCCACACAGGAAAGTCTGCCTAATAGCTAATAAAGCCTCAACCCAAAGCCATTGGAATTATTTCCCCATGTGAAGCAGTACGTGAGGGCTGCGAGAGAGAAAGGCAAAATTGAAACACTGTTTCTCTCCTGTGTGTCCGCAAAGAAAGGCCAACCAACCTGCCTCCCCACCCCCGACTCCTTCAGATCCTGTATTTGACGGAGCACATGAGGGTGTGTGAAGAATCTCAAATTCATTCTTTCAGCAAGCTGGGCGTATCCATAAAGCCTCCGTGCTTTGAAGACAATCACAATATACACAGGAGCGAATTGACCTGAGGGTAAATGCGTCCCCGGCTCAAACACAATCTTGTTTATAAGAAAAAAATAAAGGAATCAATAAAACATTCTCACAGCGGCGCCATTGTTTACTAAATCTAGACCCATTTAACATGATAGTGTGAGACGGTGTGAGACACGGTGTGTCAAGTGACCTCCAACATCTGGTGCTCCCATGAACCATCAGCACAGCGAGGGGCCACTCTCATGCTGTGTGTACGCTGACACATTTAAAACTTTAAAATACTCTCTAAAAGTAGATTTCTTTGTAAACTGTTTGCTTTTGTATTAAGGACACAACTGTTTTTTTAAATTTTAGTCCTCAGTTATAAAGCTACTGGTGTAAGCAGCTTATGCATCGGCACAAGACAATGCATAAGCACATTTTCTCTGTTTTGTTCCAAATAATAAAAAGCAGCAGTTTTACATTCTGCAGAAATTGGACTACATGTTTCCTCAATCTCTGAATCAATCAAAACAGAATAAAAACTGTCGCCACAGCGGTTATATCATAGAGCATGGGACTACAGATGCACGGGGGCTTTGTACCACTGCATCCCCAAAATGAAACCTACAAGTGTTAACTGAGCCGAGAGGCCTGTGGAGTCACTTACATTCCTGCATTGATCAAACCCAGTCGTTAGCCATGAAAGCAAGACACACAGACTACAAAGCGATCAGCCTCTCTGTGACAAAGTTTCTACATCTGGAAAGACCCCAAAAGTGTGATACATTTCCAAGACGTGGATTAGGTTCAGCTCAAGGTCTTAGACCGAGTGGGACAATTCGTTTTTGCTTGTTTGAAGCAAAACGTCTGTCTGAAGAGGGGCCGTCTATATTAGGCTACAACAGTGAGCGGGATCGGTCTCGTGTTTCAATGAGTGTACACCGACATAGAGGATGTCATCAGGATATTACTTTTTGGAGCGAATTTGTCTGTAAATACGGAAATATTTAGATTACTATTCAGTCCCTAAAGATATGAGAAAGTAAAGCAACCTTTCAGTTACAGATTCACTACCGTAAAAGCTCTTTTTCACAAACATGATCAAATAGATCAAAGTTTTTTAGTGCCTTGAATTAAACAAAATATATATTTTTTTAAATGCTTAATTGTTGCCAATCAAAAGTGTTGGCAATTATTCGGTACAGCATGGAAGCTCAGTACCAGGGAAAGGGACGGAAGAGAAGAACAATGATGCAACAATAAAAGATTTAATCATTACTGCGATCTGCATGAAAAGACATACTCAACATGACATAGAGGTGCCATGTGCAAAGCTAAACCCCATCATCTTTTCCACATGTCTGCATGCCTTCGGAGCAAACGTAACCCCCCCCCCCAAACCGCAGCACAGCTGATTCTCACAGTGATTCATTGCTTGGACAAGTTCGACTAAACTTCCTTCTCACATCCAGCAGAGCGCTCGGCCAGCGTCTAACGACTACAGCATTTACAATCACATCTTTGCCACGTATTCACAAAGAAGAACAAGAGAGAGAACCGCTCATGTCATGAGAATTATTCATAGGAGGGTTTTAAAAAGATCCTAGTGATAGCAAAGATCGTAACATTCCCCTCAATCATGTATAATTGAATGGTAAAAACTAAATAATTTGCCAGCTTGCTTCCTTAATAATGAGTACTTGTACTCTACCTATCCAACACTGGATTTATGGTCATTTAGAAATCTCCAGAGTTTAACATCCCTGTAAAAGCACTCTTCATTCCCCATGCGTTTCATCCAAGCTGTATATCCGTGGCAGCTGGAAGTGGCGTCTCTTCCAACTTTCCATAAATCTTGGAGATACTGCACAAGTGAAAACCAATGAAAACCACATGCAGGAGAAATTGAGGAGAGTGCGAGAAGAAGAGAGCAAGAGACAGAAAGGGTCAGGGGGACATTGAGACCTACAGGGAGCCGAGATGGGGGGGGGGTCAGCCAACAGAAAAGAAAAGTGATCTGAGGGGTTCTGTAGCGTTCGTTCAAATAAACAAAACCATATGTGCATACAAACGAGCGCATGCATGGACGCGTGCGCGCGCGTGTGAACGGCCGCTGCTTCCCAACGCGAGCGGGAAAAGGCTCCATGGCCGCAGATCAGTGTACGTTTCTCTAGAACAGCGTGTCACCAGTGATTGGGGGCCGGTGGGGGCCGGTGGACTCTTCTCTTTCAACTCTAAATTAGCTGTTTTGGTTAGTCAACCAGACATGCAGATCAAAAAAGGTCAGACGTGCCCACTTAATCCTGGTAAATCTCCCCCTTCACATCTCCCCCAGCCTGTCAGCTTCTGTGTGACAGCAACCATCAGACACATGCTCTGTGAGCCCAAACCCGCTTCATGCACTTGAAGTTTTCCTTCCAGCACTGAAACGTGTTTGTCCCTGTGTAGTCATTGTGAAAAGTCAAAAAAAAATAAAGAAAAATGTGGGGGAGTCAGTGGGGGGAGACACTCGATCGGCTTGTCTACTTTTAGAAGAATGCTAAATAAGGCCCCCGATGATCTTCTCTGGGCTGGACCCATCAGCAGCAGCAGGGGTCTAAAGGCCGTTGGGGTAAGTGGACATCCACATCTAAAGAAGCAGCAGCTGCCTTGACCTCAGTGAAACTTCAGCTAAAAAGGGAAAAGGATGAATGAAACTTCTGCTAAGCTTCCCTTTAGTTGTTGAGCGAGTCTGCCACATGGGGGTTTAGGCCTTTGGGATGTTTAAAGACACCTTAGCTCGTCTTACGTCTAGATGAGATATGGAGGTGCGGTGAAATGAATTAAGGGAGGGTCTCAAGTAGGATCCACACACCAACCACACGTTGTTGGACCTTAACCCCGGGGGACATGACTGTGATTTGTTAAAAGGTCTGTTTTCTGGTCCATGTTGAAACACACAACCCCTTCTGATGTTGAGGTTTGATTTAAATCAAATCAGTGGTTGAAAAAGAGAAGACCGGATACTAATAAGCGACCCCACGGAGATATTGAGGGTCTGCCTGAGCCTTTAACATGATAGAAACACGTCTTTACACTTTAAGAGCCCTGGGGGCCTCTCAAGGAGCACCGACGGGCCCCACATATCATTTGGGCACGAAAGACACCTGGACTCAGTTTAGACTAAACCCCCCCCCCCGCCCTCCTCTCACCTGCTTGAAGTCCGCCACAAACGTGATCAGCGTCCCGTCTCCCTGCTTGAACTCCACCGATATCAAGTCCCTGTCGCTGTCCGCCTCCAGGACCTCCTCCGTCACCAGCCCGTCCGCGAGCCGGACCCGAACCCGCAGCTCGGAGCCGCGCGCCAGCGCGGCGACCAGCAGCAGCAGCAGCGCGCAGAGGCGCGTCAGCGTCCGGACCGGAGCCGCGGAGACGCGACTCGCAAACATCCCCGGAGACGCGAAAGCGAACGAGAGGTGGGAAAAGAAAACCGGGAGAAGTCCCACCGATCCGCGTTCATATCCCCTCACTGAAGATCTCGGGCTTTTGTTGTTGTTGTTGTTGTTTTACGTAAAGTCTTTTTCCTTCATATTCAAAGTGCAGGGGGTCGGGGGGGGGGTTCTAGTTTGTCGGTCGCGCTTCCAGACGGTCCCCGGTGCGCCGGGCGCCCTCCGGACTCGCGAAGCCGGGCATGGAGATCTGGTCTTCAAATCTCTGCTCTTCACTCGTCCGACGCGAGTTCACTTCCACTGAAAGTCTCTCGCTCCGGCGTTGTTAAGATCATGCGCATTTCAGCTCCGTCTCTCCCCCGCTCACTCACCCTCCCTCCCTCCTGTCCTCCACAATCCGGCGATCGCACGTTGCTTCTAATTCAGCTTTGTGTTTATATCCCCGTCTCCCTCTCTCCCTCTCCCCCTCTCTCTCTCTCTCTCTCGCGCGCGGTCCCGTCACTTCCTCTCCGTCGGTATCCCGCCGCTCGCCTGGCCTCCAAAACTTTCTGTTGCGTGAGTGAGTGAGTGAGTGAGAGAGTAAGTGAGTGAGTGAGTGAGTGCGGTGATGGTAGTAAACTCTTAAAGCCGTACGACCACCCTCCCACCCCCCCCTGGAGAACTCTGCCCATCCCCCCCCCTTCCCCCAAAAGGCCTCATGTGAGCCGACTGCACGCCGGCGAGCAGCCTGAACTAATAATACCCCCAACAATTCTGACAAAGGTGTCGTCGGGATTTGTAAATCACAGCCTGTGTGTGCTGCCTTTGTCGTGTCGGGATGAATTTATAAACTGCTGCTTAAAACAATACTTGTTATTAGCGATGCAGCTAAACATGGAGGCGTCAAGTTAAACACGGGTTATGTCACACGTTGGTTTCACCATGTCATCTTGGAAAGGATCATTTTTAATAAGTTGTTCTAACATTTCATCACAGGTGTGCGAAATGACCTTTGCTGACTTTTACTTGTACCAGTTTTAAGAACAAAAGTTGTTTCATAATCGAGCCATAGAACAATGTTCCTTTTGAACTCACTCTTTTTTTCTTTTTGTTTTCTCAGTTGAATTTACAACCTTTAAAAAAAACATGCCTCTATTTGTGTTGCGATACCCTCTGAAATAAATATCAGTCAGCCGTCCCCTTTGATGACAACATATAGGGGATTCACAGATTCCAGCTAAAGGAAAAATACAGTCACTCCTTTATTCTCCTGGCATGCGCTTTAATTTTAACGACAATCCTCAAGTCGCAGCTTGTCAAGCAGCGTTGAGATCTGTTAAAACAAACAAAAGCTGCCCATATGAGTCACAACAATGCTGGGTAATCACTGTGTTTGTGTGGCTTCTGCCAACAGGTTCATGGGGGACATCAGGGCGGTTAAACCGCCCAGGCAGTTGGTTTTACTCCTGGGGGGGTAACACCCGGCTTTTTGGGGGGTGGGCGGGGGTGGGGTCCCCCCCCCCCCCCCCTCCTCCCCGTCTGTTGACCCTCAAATCTGACGGGACTTGAGTGCCCGACGAGCCCAAGAGGTGGATGCTCCATTGAAGGGGAAAGCAAACAGAGCGGGTGTAAAGCAGAGCAACATCGTTAGCCGGTGGCACTGGAAAAACCAAACGGGGCCCCTGGACCCCCCCCCCCCGATAGACTGGGGAGGTGCGGGGCGAGGGGGGGGAGTGGAGGTCAGGCAAACACACCACATTGTGACGGAGTTGGCCTCAGGCTACATCTTAGTTAGAGCCAGAGAATAAAAAGCTGCGGCCCGAGAGTGGAAGATGGGGGTTCGCCGGGCGTGTAAATGTTGCGCCATCCATTCATTTAAGGACGGGGATTTCAAAATCATGTGCCTGCTTGTTGAAATTGCCTCACCGGCTATTCGCGGGCTCCGTTGCCACACACATGAGGGTTCCAAAGTGCAGGAGATTGGTGACGCACGCAGCGACAACCAGCTTGGAGTGTACAGAGGCGTCGATGATTAACTAGCAATTGCTTTGCCCCACAATGACCGCGCGTACGATGAGAAGTGACTACGGCAGTGAGGAAATACGTTTTCTCAAGAAGCGAAAGGGGAAACCACACACTTTATATTTGTATGACGTGTCAGGCAATGATGGAATATAATTGAAATGCCATCATATCTGTTTTACTTGTAACACAGTTGTGCCATGCTCTAGAATATTTAGTGTTTGAGCTGAAGAGCAAAGAAGCTGTTTGCATTCCTGAAGGCGCAACCTGTGAAATGGACACTAGAAGCCTTGCTTGGTGCGTCTGGACCCTTCGATGTGTTTGCTTTTTCACTCTAACAACACAGCTGCCCAAGTGTTATTATCCGAACGGGGTCATCTTGACATCTTGACGTTTTTAAAGCAATGCGTCGACTGCATGAACTGAACACAATTATATGAAAGGACTTTAATGTATTTTATGTCTGTTTTACATTTGAAGATACACGTTTAGATTTTCTTAACTCTATTACTATGAAACAGTGCAATACAATAATAATACGATCAGTTAATATCTAGGAAATCAGATTACAAGAAGATAAAATAAATAATATTTTAAGTCATTCTACAAGCGGAGATGGTGATAAAATGATCCTTAACTTCACACACACATACACAAACAAAAAGCCGTGACTACTCTGCCTATTAACATGTTTGCTGTATGTTAGATTAATGAAGCATCACGGATTAACAGCATATTCCTTTACTGGATTATAGATTGTTATCTCATGCAGCTAAGCAATTATAACCCTAATATTTGCTAAAAAGGCATGATATTTTGCTCCATGGGGGTTCGCTTGGAGAAGGTATTCAGACGTATTCAAAAAACTTCCAAAAGAAATCAGCTGATGATGTTTCATCTCTGCACACGGATCGAGTTTATCTCCCCTCCAGATGAAGAGCTTGTGTGTGTACACGCGTGTGCCGTGTACAGTATTTACATAAGGGCTGCGGGAGCTGAAATCAAGCTGCTTTTCAGTTCACTGATGATATTTTCCCCAGTAAGCCCCCCCCCCCCCCCCCCCCACCTTCCTTTCTCCTGCAGTGTGCTGGGCAGCAGCCCGTTGCTCTCTGAGGTCTCTGCTGTGGGCTGACTGAGGAGATATCCCCTTACACATGTGGGGCGCCTTTTTGGAGCGCAGGCTCGCATGGAGGAAAAGAGAGTTGGTGGTGGGGAGACTGACGGGAAGGAGAGATTTACATACAATAGATTGCACGGTGCACTTAATGGGCAGTGCATTAGCTTTAAGGGGAATAGAGAAAGATCATAATAACATGAACGGCACATTTAGTCCCCCGCATTCAAAGTGACGGGCATGTAACTTGTAATGAGTTGATAAAACATTATCCAATGTTAAAGATAATCTAAATTAGCTTCGCTATGGCTCACTAAATTATGCCGTAAAATCAATAATACCTGGAAATAATTGGGTTATATAATATAAGTACAACACAAAAACCTTTCTGCATTACAGTTGCAATGTTCAAATAATAAGAATAGGCTTTTACTTACAGAAATCACTACTTTTGTCAAAAAAAAACAATCTGAATCTGTTAATTTGTTTTTTTATGTTTTATAATCGCAAGTACAGATAGAAATGAATGATCTTTATTCATTAATAACAGGATTTCATCTGCCAGAGGGGCACCCAGATGTTTCTATGTCAACACCAGCGGAGGCACAGTTCAAAGGAAAAACAGGCTGAAAGGAGGGATCCTTTAACCCCTGCCTCCCCAGGAAGAAAATCTAATCCCACACAATAATCTATATACTAGGAAAGACTTGCATGGGAATTCCTATAAAGGTAATGACAGAGAGAGCGGGAAAGAATGAATGGGAGATACAGAAGGGGGGAAAAAAGGTTCTTTTGAATTGTATGAATAAATAAACTTGTATGGGCTTTTAGCTCGGAGCATTAAACCCCACACTGAGATTTTTTTCCTGGCACGGTGCCCGAATGAGATGAAAGACGATCCCACTTTAAACACAGGCGTAGGAACATATCATTTATCTTTCCAAATGATAGCAGGTCAAAGCTGCGGGACTAATAGCTGAGGTGGAGCTCACGTTTTCTTAGGGAATACGTATGAAACATTTCGATCAACCGTCGTATTGTGGACTTCTTGTGATTATAGAACACAAGCAGCAGGTTGCTCGTATACACATCTGTCCACCCTTTGTTTCCTTTACAAACACATCCCCTTAATGGAAATAAGATTACATTATATTATTGATGAAATGTGGAGTTGCAACATAGATGATACTTGATCAATTATATATCCTGCATCTCTCCCTCATTAGATGGGGTGGATTTGTTTTTTTTCTTCTGAGGAAGCACATGACTAAGAAAACATCTGTTCAGAAAAGTGGGATCTACTCTGTATTTAATTAATCAAACTGTTGGCCTGGAGTTATAGGAATATATTCTTAATTCTCTGCAGTCGGCATTTAACAACAATGCTGGGAGTCATTCTTTGGTGAACCACAAACAAAATCTGTAGCAATTAAACCTTCTTTTTCCACATAATACAGTGTTCTTTCATATATCCTGTGGGAAAACACATTCAGCACTAAATGGCAGCCACGCATTGATTGAGCAGTTTGATGGGCAGGTCCTGGGCAGTGAATAAAGACCATAAATACAAAACAAACAAACAGGAGGGAACATGCACGCTTAACTACAGTGATAAACAACAACTCATGAGTTTTACGACGCCTGGCTGGATCATAATAATAAGGTTATCAGGCGTATTGTGTATTTCATAATTTATTCTGCAACGAACCTCGGTCACCATTTATTTACAAAAAGTCCTTAATATTGAAAGAATCAGACTGCATGTGTCCTTCTGCCATCGGGACCGTCTGCTCGCTCGTACAAGAGGACCAGTGGAATTGCCGCGTAGCCAGGCGGTCACCGCACAGCCGCTGATGTTCTGCCAGCACACAATCAAGATGCCTGCTCCAGATTGTCCCAGTGTAAACAAAGCAGGGCGGGATTCCCCTTCAGCAAATTGCATACCTTGTTAATCTGACGGGATTATCATTTTCAATTGACAGCTGCCAGGCTGGCTAACTGAGGAACACAACAATTAAATGTTTTTGGAAGAAAACAATCCGAAAAAATAAAGATCAAAAACACAAAGCCAAACAGCGCTTCATGACGGTATTATTTGTTCCTCAAAGTTGTCATTATCTATCATTCTGTAACCTCCTCCATATGATTGTATTGTTGAATCCACATCATGTATTTGTGGTTATCTGGTGCTCTTTTTGACTTGGTGAATTTCTAACTGCCTCTCTCGTGAAAAACAGCACACCCGTAAAATGTCTAAAAGCCCCAAACACTGTTGATCGTAAATATAAAATAATCTCTTCTGTTACACTTTAAAATGTTAAAGTATGAAGAAAAAATCACAGGGACTGTGTGTGCAATACTTTGTTCCAAATTTCCCAACAGCCATTGCAGCTTGTGTAAAACAAATACCTTTCTAAGTCTTAATGTCTAAATGTGTTTTTCATGATTTTTAATGTTCTCCTTTAATCTTGCTGCACATTCTTTTCAAATTCCTCCCCGGGAAAGAAAATGAAATTATGCAGATATTTTTTCTTTTTTGTTGACAGAGCATTAATGATCACAGCAACCATAAAGTACTGAATTGTCACTTGCGTGATACTGAAAACAACACTATTCAGGAAATCCACGGAAACAAAAAGAGCGTCCAGGCACAAGTGGAGCCATTCTTTGGCAAGTTAAGGATACGGACCAAACAATGGTGACATGCAGGAAATGAATACTTAAGCTGAGTAGCCCCCATGTGTACCGCTCTTTTGCAGATCTTACAATATTTACTACAGCGTTTGATAGTGAAACCCCAGCTCGCACCTGGCTGCACAGTTCAAACAAAAGGCACCATATGCAAACATATACCAAAACTATTTTGATATGCTACAGCACCATAAAACGCACAAAGCCTTGTATTCCTCACTTCAATTGGGTCAAAGCCTTTTGCTGCTGATAGCACTTCATGGAAACATCAAGTTTAAGACCGGTTTTATCAGCGCAGGTGTTCCAAAGCCCTTTGGCGGAGTGTGTGAGGTCTTTCTACCTTGTAAAAACAAAGTTTAGGTGTTAAACCAACTATTAAGATTTTAGATTGAGTTATTGTTCAAACTAGACCCAACATATTCAAGGGGACATTTCAGGGAGGGGGGGGGGGATTCAAGTTGGAACGGCGGATGGGTTTTCTACAAGAGAATGAAGACAAACACGATTTTATTTTGCTGCTGTTTTTCATCATCTGACACGGCTCTGAACTTTGTTTTTATCTGCCACCAGGAAATCTCCGGCACAAAAATGCAGAACCAGAATTTTATTATAAAGTTAACTCTCCCTTCTGACCTTTGACTTCTTTCCATTGTTGTGATGCAACTGTCTTCCAGTAAATCCAGCTTGAGTGCTCACAGGCCAAACAAGGAGCTGGGCATTCCTGTGAATGTGGGAGTTCAGGCGGATGGGACAACTGCCCCCACAAACATGACTTTGTCTGTGTGCGTGTTTGCTCACGTGAAACAGGCCTGGGCTTCGCTGATCAGCAGGAAAAAGCCCGTGTGGCTGACTCAATTCCCCTGACCAACGCCTCTGGGTAATCTGCGGTCCGACAAAAGATAAATGGAGAGTTGCCCGTGTTTACGTTGACTTTGGTCGGAATCCTACGGCTTACTCATTCAGTTCATCCAGATTTGTGTAAAGAAACTGGACGTACACGACAAAGAACAAATTTATGGCCAATGAGTAAAGCAGCTCTAGTACAGTCAGACTTGATTCATCACCATGTGTGTTGTATTTTTACCAGTTTCCCCATGAAACTGGGCCACAGATCATTCACGGCTTCCTGCTGCGAGATTTCAGTGTTGGAAAGCCACGCACGCACGCACGCACGCACACACACACACACACACACACACACACACACACACACACACACACACACACACACACACACACACACGTGTCCTATTACCTCAACCCCCAGAAGACTGCATGCTGGGAGGAATTCTCCACAGTGCCCTCTGACCTGGGAAAGTATTGAGAGTTGAATAGAACCAAAGAATGTATATTGCAGGTTATTTTCCAAAGTCTCAACTTGAAATTCACACATTAAGTAAAAAGTGGTGGACGTCAATGATTCCATTTGAAGATTTGTACGATTCGAAGATTTCTAACTTTCTTGCCCTCATGTAGTATGGTCAAAACAGAAAGTAACAAATAAGCTGCACCACTTTCATCAAATTCATCAAAGTTTGAGATAGCTCCTAACTCAGCCTGAGCTCCAAAACCTGTTCGTAAAAATGTAGACGAAAATCTTGAAGATACAAATTCGTAGTGATACATACAAAATAAATACGGACTGCAACTGATGACGTCACCCTATTCAAAGTCAATGGGGACCTGCACCCCGTAAACACACTTCGTGAAGTCTAACGATGTAAAATAAACGTGTTATGACTGCATTTTTAACGAGAAATCAATTATAACTTGTAAGAATAGAATACTTACCCTAACCCCCTCAAAAAATCCAACATGGCGGAGAGACGTTCACTCAAGGGGCGTGGTTAACCACCGCCAGTTAGTATGTATTGTTACGAATTTCGATGTCAAATATTTCGTATACATTTTTACGAACAGGTTTTGGAGATCACTACTGAGTATAACTACTTTTTAAAAATGATGAATCATTTTATATTATGTTTTACTGTATATCTTTAAAGTCAAACATTTTAGTTTGGATAGCATGAAAATACATTTTGCTGTTTTTTAAATGATGTTAAAATGTTAAAATAAAACTTCTGCTGTGCTGACATTGAAGTTGCATGAATCATATTGACTCAAAGCTCCGATCGAATGTCTGCCTCACCTTCCTTCCTGCACGCTAAGGTCCAATATCATGGCAGCCCACTGAAAGGGAAAGAAAACAAATCCTTTAACCGCCATCAAGGTGCTTTTTTGATACATACCGTAGTAGCTCCCATATCAACAAACGGGCCCATTGAAGTATTGTGGTGGTTGAACATGATGTGACACACGGCCTTAAGGGCAAAGGAAACAACAAAGGGGTTTTAGATATCAGTCGCTTTAATTAGCTTTGCGCTGATGAACTCATCCAGTGTGGTGAACTCAAATGTGGAGAGATCACAAGCGTTGGGGGGGACTCGGCATGCTGGGACCTGCGTTTTCACTCATTGACGTAAGATCGAATGAAAAGTGTTAATTGGTGCACATTATCTCAAGTTGACCCGAGGAAACTCAGCAGAGTGCAGTGCAGTACCATTTAATGATAAGTCAGTATGTTGTTCAATCATAGCCTTTCTACAGGGACATTTCAATCAACTGTCACGCTATGGGTATACAGGATGTGGAGGTGCACTGTTTTCTTTATCTGTGACTTTATGGCTTTGAGATTATCATCTTACAAGTGGCATTGCAGCAGTATGCACACGAAAGGTCATGTTCATTCAAAAGAATTATCAGACCGTTAACACGTAGATAAATTATTAGTTTAATCAATCTAAACCACAGAGAACAGGAATGTTTCTTGTTTTCGGCATAAATAAAACAAACAAAAAAATAAGCAGCACATATGAAGTCTTTGTTGTTTTCGTTCATTGCTCTGTAGTATCAATGATTTCTCTGAGCTACAGCATGTAGGTGGTATTCAGTGTGTGTGAGCCAAGAGGTACGTAAATAATCAATCTGGAGTTATTGCCAGAAATGCGGTAATAAAAAGCCAGGGGAGGGGCTGGAGCCAAAAAACAACGCAGATAAAATATGGCTCAGAGGAAAACTGTGGCGGGAGGGAGGGGCGTGGCTCGGGCTGAGATAAGTGGCACCTTTGGGTGGTACTCGTTGGATAACTGCTCATATTTCAACACATTTCTAGCCCTAAAATCTATCATGCAGCAATAAAAACTATTTCAGTCAGGATGAGGGAGCAAGCTGCCTGAACTGGGAATCTCTACACAACAATGAATGTTACGATGCAGTCTTACATGTGGCTTCAAGAGGTGGAAATAATAATACATCATTTTAATGCAACACAACAAAAATAAGTATTGTTTTCAGGTGAAGATAGGAATAATGAACCGGATCCGATAATCACAAGTAAAATGTAAACACAATTATCTAGATAGGCACTTTTATGGAATTAACAGCATGTAAGTAAACCGCAGTGATACAAAAATAAACGTGATAGAGATCGATCTGTTGGCAACATTTCCATGACAAATAAACAAGCTTGATTAATTCGATACGCCTTCCAGAGTTAGACGGTGGAGATAGTTTTGTCAAACCATTTCTCCGGACAGGAGGAAACAACAGAAACAGTAATAAGTAACAAGTCATGTGACTACAAGGACACAGCTAGTAGGTCACCTTTACAATGCACCGCGCAACGTCGATCATGGCAAGGTTCATATCGGGCTTATTGTGTACTTTCTAACTTTTATGCAACAACCCGTGGTCTCCATTTGTTTAAAGAAAAACTTTTATATTGAATGGTGACTGAGCTACTACGGAAACACTCTGAAGACACTCGGAAATATGTGCGCTGACCTCTATCTATGAAGAATCTGTGACAGATGAACAGACATACAAAACTAGTTTCACATTTATTGCAAAATATCAAAAACCTTTTCAATGGTCATATGTGTGAAACCTTGGAACTTGTGTGTGTGTTCATTCGATTGAACACAGTTGTTGACAGTGTTGATCAAGAGAAGAGAACACATAGAGTTGAATTCGTTTGATTATCTGCTCATTGGTATTGAACATGAAAAAAGAAGTGCCGAGCTGCATCTTTCTTTGGAAAACACCCAGTATCAATTAATATAATGCTACATGAATGTGAAAACAACCTACTTTGGTGCATTTCACTCTTCTACTGGAAAAAAAGTGAATCAATCAATTATTTTTAGTAGTATTCTCCAGACAAATGTGTATTTTTAAAATGCATGGTTTAAATATTTAAATAGGTGTTTTTTTTGGAGAAATTGGTCCTTCTAGATATGTCACCTTGATACCTACATTAATTTCAGTAAGTAGCCAAACAATCTCCGTTCGCCCCATTTTGATCCGGATCCATCTGTTGTCTTGACAACGCAGCACGGAATCTCTTCACCGAGGCCTCAATCACATGTTTTAAAGTCCTTTCCTGAGTGTGATCACAAAAGAAGACTCCTGCAATAGAATAAATGCTTTGATTAGGAGCTAAAGAGGATGTTAAGTTGAATCTAAAACTAGGCAGAAAGGTTTAGCTGCAGAGCTCCAGTTTCGGGCCCACTTTTACCATCAGACCATTTCCAGTTTCGAGCTTGGGAACGTCGGAAATTGTGCAGCCAAAGATGATGCGATAACATGCGTTCATTAGTTTTGAAAACCCACACAATAACAGTACAACTTTAAAGCAATAAATCTTCTTCAACAATACTCTGCTAAAACAAGGGGAAAAGGTCATTTAGTAGTTACAGCTGTTAAAATATCAAGATTGTAATCTTTACCATAGTGTTGATAACGATGCATTGGACAGAAGAACTACTGCAGTTTAAAAAAACAACTAGTCCTGAACTCTAAATGTTACTGAAGTAAAAGCACAGAAGTATTATCAGCAAAATCTACTTGTATGTTCAAAAGTAGTAGACAGAATGGTTTCTTATGTGTTATATTATGGCAAGTTAGTGTTTGTTTTGTTTAAATTACTAACACCTTTTCAATCATTTCAATGTTGAATGTCATCAATATAATTTAATTAAATGTACTTACATGTTACATGCCATTATTTAATGGAGAATATATATATATATGCTCAGCAGGGTACCGTTAAAGAAAACACTGCCCAATAATACAAGAATGTAATTAATGGATTTCAACCACAATGGGGCCTGGTTATTGAGACGGGTCCCGCCAATGGAGGAGTCGATTCTTGGAACGCTCCAGTGGGACATTATTGAATCTAGTTTCTAAAGACAACACACTGACAAAGAGTTGTACCTACATCAGCGCAAACCATGCCGTACCAAAGTTTGGTGGTGAAAACAATATTGGACCAAACTCAACATTCTTTCGGGGAAGAACAAAACCTTGTTGTTGAAATGTGCTATACAGAAGAAATTGCCTTGCCTTGCTCAGAGTCTAGTGTCAACAGCTGTAAAGTGTTGATGTAAAAATGACAGAGGGTCATAGCTAAATATATTAATGAGACAATGTTGTTTCTTGTCATTGTAAAAAGAAGAAGTAACATTTCAAAGAAGAAAGTAACCAATGAGCAGCCTTTGAATCACATGTTTCCATCCGGGGCGACAGCAAAAGGAATTAAGTCATATCTGGCATGACATTACAGAAATCTAAGAGAATTAAAAAAAAACTGCTCATATTTATTTCATGTTAGCTGTTGAATTTTTCATTCCTTCTCTTTTCTCTGAAGGCCGACTGACTTCTATACAGCCAAGACGCTGGCGCTGCCTGAGAATTTCTCAAGTTGAGCCAATTTAGCTTAATCCGACTAAATTAGATCACACCCTTGGTTTTCCTTTTGTGAGTGAATTGACGTGAACTTTGGTGCTGAATTAAAAGGCAAATCCAGAGTGATGCAAGTGATTCCTACCAGGTGTGGCCTTTGTAGAGATCACGAGAGAGGAGAGGAGCTTTTGCAGAAAAGCCAGAGAGAGGCCGAGCGACAGAGTGCACTCATTCAACTAAAACTAAACAAACTAAACTAAAGCACAACCGAGGAGTTAGTTGCTGTTACTTACACAGATACCACAGCACTCACTCACTGCAGAGCTTACTTCTTCTTCCCGCCTATTGACATATTTTCAGTTTTTTTCTTCTGTGCCTCCTTCAACAAAAGACACACCTTTAAATTAGCCACTGGTTTGATATGTGGGTGTGTGTATGTATTTGTGTGTCCAACCCCACCCATGCCACACAAATATCACAACTGTAGCTCGTAATTGTCTTCATTCCTTCCTCTCAAAGACGCAATAGCTGTGGAAAGAATGTCTTCAGCCGGAAGTATTTCTGCAATTTTTTTGGCTTCTCTTCCCGAGAGACGCTAATACGTCAACTTCACCATCAACTTACTCACTCGGGTTACAGAGTGTCTGTTGACTATCAACAGTTTGTGTAATCCGATATATTTTGAAAATAGTACGGTTCAACATGAAGTTATATGGGTTCTAACAAAGTTCCCTGGTGCCGATGAGAAGAGGGATTGCAGTGGAAAAGGTTCTACCTCTGTCATGGCATCATCAATCTGTTTCAGCTCCTCGTAGTGGTCCCGCGAGTCTCTCAGAGGTTGAACCATAATCTCCTCAATCTGAGGAAAAAGCTGTTGGGAAGTGAAAGTGAGAACGTTCTGTGGTCAGTGTGGGTCTCGGTGGAGGAGCACATCTGCACACGCACGTGGTCTCACCTTCATGACAGTCTCGAACATTGGGATGAGGACAAACTTGATGAACCCGATCTGAGCGGTGGGTTTGGTGACTTTATCTCTGTCCATGAAGGGAGCCACAGGGAGGCCCTCAGACTTCTCCCTGTCACTCTGTTAGGCACACAGGTGGAAATATAACCATTCGGCGAATGCTCACGACGAGCCACAACGTTCTATCGCCTTGATGGGTTCAGATATGAGATTCTAGGGTCGTGGGAGCGGTTTGGTTGAGGTCACCTGCATGAAATACTCCTCTAATAAGCAGTCCACCCATGGCTCAGCTACCTCAGTTGGCCTCACTTCATTGGAAATGTCACAGCACTTGATCAAAACCATCTTCAGCTGAAAACACACACACACACACACACACACACATACACCAAAAAATACAAGATAACGAAGGCTATACGTCATCAAGACGCATACAGCATCTACAGCACTGTACACTTTTCCATTTAGCCGTCGCTGATCACAACACGCTCTACAGATGAAAGGCCTTCTTATGTTGAGGTCTTGCATGATCGGTACAGTAATACGGCTTACGTCAGGTGGTGTTGCAACGGATATACGTACACACGTCACATGCTCTTCATTGGTAAAGTCAAAGTTGTCCGCTTTTTGCTTGAAGGAGTCGAGTATCTCCCCGTGTCTCGCCATGTCGGTGGCAAGGATGAGGGTGATAATTGCCTGGGAATATAAGACCAAAAGTTACTTTTATTCAGATTTAAAATCCAAATTGTATTAGTATTATGTTAATATGTGAAAAGACAGTAAGATTAAGACCAGGCTCAACGTGCTTTTCTTAAACTTTCATCTCACCTGTCGGATCTGTTTGTATGCCTCGGGATCGACATTTGCAAAAATATTGCACTCCGGGAGAGAGAGGATCTGGAAGGCCACGGCACAGTGATGGTTCTCCAGCGGAGATATGTCATTGTACCGGACTGCTAGCTCTGTGCGGGCATTGATTTGGTACCTTGTGGATGGATAACACGGGTGAATGGATAGACTGATAGTCTATAATGAAGCTTCGCTGATAAGAGAGGCCCTTGTTTTCCCAAAACTCATCAAAACAACACACTGATCTGTTTTCATACCTGAACTCTTTCCATGCTGAACTAGTTTCACAGTACATTGAAAATAGTGTTGTGCAGAGGATGTCAAAACACGCCGGGGTCAATGGGCCTCTGCGGTGCTGTATCTGTTCACACATCTACAGACAGCATAGGGATTCTTACGTGTTGTTGTAGCCAGGGTGGTCCAGGTCATGACACACTGCCGCCGTCATTAGAATGCCCATATCTGTGAGAGTCAGCTTTTCCTGGACAACAGTGTGAATTAGCGCTTTAAGTTCAAATTGTCCCTGAAAACGGTTGTTCTGGAAATCCATCGGATAGTATTTCAAGCTAAATACGACTACTAAAAAGTGGTGCTCAAATGTTCAGAATTCAACCCTGTAACGAACACGCACACAAGCGCGCACCGTACCTGTAGGTTGCAGAGGTTAATCATGCCATACATCATCTGACTGACGCAAAAGCAGTGGCGAAAGTTGTGGAAAGGATTACTACGGTAGTTCTCCTGAATGGCCAACTGGAAGACAAGAACATGAATTATTAAGCCACAGACGCCAAAATCACGCATTTTTTATTTATCTCCAGCTTTGAAGAATTTAAGAATTATTTTGTTGCCTGTGTAGGGACACTTATGTCACTCTTAGCAACACGTCTGCCTTTTTAAGCCCAAGCTTATTGGGAATCCGCGCCACGTGCTCGGCATCATACAGTACATCCATGTGCTTGCTTATCCTTTACTCTACCAGCCAGCGCTTGAGTGTGATGGGGTTCATGTTGAATTCCTTCACCAGTCCCAAGTCATGGTACATATACTCCAAACAACTTAGCATCTGGAGCCACGCAGAAAGATAAAAGACATTCACAAATGAGTCACTTGACCAACGGGGGAAAAGAGAAGCCTGATTGAGTTGTGGAGCGGCGGTGTCAACAAACCTCGTTATGTTCCCAGTGCCAGACGTCGAATGTCGGCTTCTTGAGCGCCTCGATGGTCTCCTGAGACAGCGTGTACTGTGTATGCCAAATAAAAGGCCGTCAGAACTTCAAAAGAGGCTGTGAATAGTCATGAAGTTAGCAATTTTCCGGTAGTATTTATCCCAGCGGACGTACTTTTGGGTAATTGGGGACGTCTCGTCTAGGCGTGACCTTCTTCCCATCGTCAAAGTTGTATTTGCACGGACAGTTTACTCTGAGTTTAAAAAGAAAGCAAAAAAAAAAATGTTTTAATCTTTTGACGTGATTTTGGTTTCTCTTGACATGAGTAATATGTTGTGACTATCTTCCCTTCACCTGCCACCACCTCTTGAAGTCATCTCATCTCGCAGCTTTCTCAGATCATTTTTACACTTCTCAATCTCCACCACCTTCAAGCCCTCCACTGAAACAAGGTGAGAGGAACAATTGCAGCTGCATCTCATGTTTTATTCACATCACAGTATTGTATTAAAGTGGGATTTTCTGGGGGATCATTCTATTTAAACTATCTACTCCACTTACATTCCACTCTCTTCTCCAGCATCGCTAGCCTGTTGGTGACCTCCGACTTCAACTCGTTAATGCGAAAGGCCCTGTAGGGGGAAACGATAGAAAACGAGGAGAGGCTGACAAGCATTTCAGATGGTTGGTCATAAGCATAAAATAAAACGGGAATGGGAACGGGAACATGAAATAGTTCATAGTTCAATCATTGACAGTCCCTGGTGTCAGGTATGTGTGTGATGTATGTCTGAAGGTGGAGAAGAGAAGGCTTCAGCCTCAACATAACATGAACGGCCGAGACGTTTACCTGCTGAACTGATCGGCCACCTGGGACAACACGTTCTGAAACATGTCCTCCTTCTCTGCAGACATGAACACACTCCTCATAAATCATCAAGAAAGCAGCCACCTTGTCAATATTGGTATTTTCAAGCTCATTAATACTCTCACAGTGGATGTGTTGGTGATGCATGAATGCACGTATGTGTCAGTCAGAGTAAAAGGATAATATAAAGCTGTTGTAGCTGTACCTCCAATTTGACCAGTAGACAGTGGGACAACTTTGTACAGAGAGCTGCGAGAAAATCAGAGGACAAACGGTATTTTCTAAATCTTTGCATTGGTTTAACTTATTTTCGCTTTGCAAATATTTACAGCTGGTGAAGTTTAGCACAAGACGAATTCACTGTAGAGTATAAATATGTTTGGTCACTGTAGATTTAGAAGAAGATAACTAAATAATTTCTATACAAATACAAAGCGATGATGCTGGTGTGTTACTTGGGAGAGTTGGTGGGCATGGTGGGATCTATGGAGACCAAAGCTCCCTCTGGGTCCATCAACATGATGGCTGTGTTCCTGCGGTAAAGACAAAAACAGAAGAAATGTTTTATTCTCACAAAAAGATTATGTGTTACCTATGTGATGAGGATCTCGCTTTGATTATGTATTACTATCTCCTTTTGATTCGCATGGCTGATGTGGTATGTATATTCTATGCAAGTGCTCTTTGTGTGACAGTGGCGGTTTTACTGTATAATAATCTTTCTGTTTTGCATGATATTTTTGGGGTTACATGGGATGTTTCTAAGATGTTCAAGTATGCCCAGAGCCACAGGAAGTGATGTGGTTGGCAGGTAAAAAAACAAATGAGCAAAGCAAACAACACACCTGGGGATGTTAGATGAGGAACACAGAAGCTCCTTAATGTCACATGGGCTGCAGTGCCCACTGAACACCACCTGTGAGGTAAACACATTTTGTGTTAATTCACTACATGATGGAAGTGATGGGAGAAGGTCGTTACATTGGATAAATGTAATTTGTTACTATATTATCATGTTGCATTATATTAAAACACCTTCAACCCACCACAATGCATCTATTAAAGGCAAAGGCAAGGGCAAAGGTTAAAGGCACACCTGCACACAGGCTGCTGCTGTGGTTTTCCTAAAAGGCCTCAGTGTTCCTACGGGGTAGGGAAGGTTCTCAAATTTCACGGGTTTTTCAGTCAACCGAATCACACGGGAACGTAAAATAAGGGTCCGCTCAGTTTTATGGTTGAGTAAGGTCAATTACAGGCAGACCCGAGAGAGAGAGAGGGAAGGACAGCTGTAGTGTGAGGGTTCACAGAGCTGCAGCACCATTCCTACCCTTCAACATGTCCAGCTCACAGGACATAGCACAGCAGATGTGTAGAGATTGTAACATTTTTAAAAGATAGGGTTGATAGGCAAGACCGCATGAGCTCACAAACGCTGTGCAAAAAAAGCTGTGATCCTCCGTCTGGAAGGGAGCAGGTGTTGAAGACAGACATTCAGTCTCAGGCCGTGGACTCGGTGCTCTTGAGAAGACATGTGTCATCAGCAGCTTTCTACTTGAACTCGGCATCACCAGATCGACATGTGTATCTCAGCTTGTTTGATTCTAAAAGCATGTGTCACGACTGCTTAAATGATCCCTGAGCTGTTTTCTCATTCTGACTGAAAAATAAAACTTGAAATAGGCATTTTATTCTTTAATACTGTAATTGACGCTTCAAATTAAATAAGGGAAGAAAAGCCGTTAAGAAGAAGTGTGTGCTTCTGTCAGTAACACCTGTTAGGCTATCTGCATCCTAATCTAATCTCCCCCTTAGGAGATGGGAGCCACTGGGAATTCTTGCGAATACGAAGTGCATTTTCAACTGCCTTAATTAACGTTGTTCAAGGTTTATTTCAGAAAAACACCATTATTAAATGATTGATGTCTGAAGAGTTAAATAGACATAAATACGTTACTTTAGTGGATGAGTCCCAACTTTTGATTGTCAAATCAATTCAATTGAAAATTAATTTTAATTATTTAATTCCTTGTTTTCGTGTTTACTGTGAATATAGTTTAGCAACAACCTTTTTTTTTGTCTTATCAAATCTTTTTGTGGGTCCATTCATTATAAATCCCATCTAGCATATTAAATAATTTGCCAAAAAAAAGACACCTAACCGTAAAATGAAAATACAGGCCATTTCACACAGCAGAATAATGCCTTCCCGCAATGTGTATAGTCACATTATATCTATAATAAACAGGATCAAAAAATACATCAAAAATTCAACCTGCATTGGACTCACCTTTTGCACTTTCCCATCCACATCCAGGTAAATGGTTTTAGGGGCATAGGAGGAGGAGCTGGAGCCCATGTTAACCTCCCTCTCCTCTCTCACACACCTGCAAAGATTCTGGCCCAAACCTGGTGAGTCAAAAGAAAAACAAATAATTGGAGAACGTACATTTCTTACTTTCATAAGCATATAGCTGATACTGACACTATAAGTAATGATAAGAAAAACATCAGCAACAAGAGAGCATGCATAATAATAATAATACGATTAAAAAAAAAACCCAAAAGATTAAAAAAATGGAGGTATGTAACAACAAATCATTACTGTGGAAAATGTATAAAACAAGATGAATAAACGGGTCATTCTCATCTCGTACCCTCCCAATTCACAGCCAAATGTTTTTTTACATTGCAATCAATTAGTGAAATTGTTCTTTTTCAATAAAAAACAAAACCCTTCAAAATATCGCAGTCAGATTAATTGCCAAAAGCAGCAGCACTCACAGTGTCAGCGATGCAGCTTCCCCTGTGGAGACCGAAGGTCCTGGATGCTGAGGATGCACCTAAATCACATGCAGACACACAAACACACACATGCAAAAGGAGAGCTATGGGACGGAGAGAGAGGTGCTGAGTGACGGAGAAGGCGAGAAAGGGTATGTGTGAGGGAGCCAGAGAGCTATGGAGTACAACGAGTATCGCTGGCACTCTAACTGGTTGCCAGGGTACAGTCACTATGGGGAAAAAAAGACAACCCTACTGTCTTAACTGATGCAGGTTTTTTACCTGCTCTGGTTCTTTTCATCCTCACAATTTGCTGTCTCTCTTAGGAAAAAAAACATGGTTTTATCTGACACTGAGCAACCTGGCAAGATTATTTTATTTTATTAATTTTATTTTGAACCGGCACCCAGTGAATGCACAAAATGCTGTTTAGAGCACTCAGCGATATATATATATATATATATTTTTATATAGAAATTACATCTCATCAGTGAGACCCGACAGTCCTAATTTCAAGTAAGGCCTTATTTTTTTCTTTATGTAATTTGTTGCATGTATTTGGGCATTTGTTTTGTTAACTACATTCCTGCGGACAGTTATGGGTTTGGTTCACTTGTTGGTTTGTCTTTCAGGAGGATTGTGAAAAAAACACGTCCGCAATTTTGAAGAGATTCGTGGTCAGGGTTTACAGTGGGACATGGAAGAACCCATTACATTTTTTGTCGGATATGCATTAATGGAGGTTTGTGCTCTCTGAGCAACCTTCTAGTTTGATACCCATTTCAATTTATTTTCTGTTGGTGTGTGTTAAAGTTCACAGACCACTCATCTCCTCCAATGATGTCCACTCCAGGTCTTGCAGATGGTTTTGTCAGACGAGATCAGCAGAACACTCAACAACATTTTTATTTTTAGCAATTTCTAAATGGTCAAGTTGAGAACAAGGATTGTCTGGTTAATCCTTTAATTAAAGTGTTATGACACTTACTTAAGTTATTCAATTTGGATTTGGAAAATATCCATAAGGAATAAAAGGGAAGACATCTCAGGCTGAGTAACAGAGGAGAGAATAGCAGAAGTGGAAGAAGTATGTAGTTATGTATCAGTGCATTCCTCTAAAATGTCGGCATAAAAATCCCACTGAACAGATCAGCTTAATGTACTTAAAATATCAGAAGGTAAAACATTTTTAGGCAGTAACATTTCTTCGCATTGATTTTGTGAAAGTAGGTCTTATGTTGGTTAAACCTAACTAGCTGCTATCTTTGGCCTCATAATTACTGTACAGAATGTAAATTATATTAACCTTCTAAATTAGCTCAACAAGGCAGCGAATACATTTCCTAACATGTCAAATTACTATATTATTACATATAGTATGTATTACATAATTACTAAATGAATTTCATTCAGTTTCTTCCCACACTGGTGGATATATAATATTAATGCCATGAAGACTGAGGTCTCCCTTTTTTCTTTCCTTATAATTCACTGGATATTAACAGGAATCACTTCACAAATTAAGTAAATAAATACAAAAGTAGTTCAAAGTAAACATAACTTAATGTATAAGTAATAGTTATACTTACGCATTGTTCAAGTCAATTTTTCAGTATACCTTATGTTCAGAAAGACAGGTATTTTTGTCCCCCTTCAAGATGAATCTAAGGGGTTGGGAAATAATTGATAAGGTAGAAACGAAGAGTAAACTATGTCCGTTGACACAAATTTGTATCAATTCCTTAAATGATTTGGAAAATATTGGAAAGTTTGACTTTATTGGGCCTAAAACCTTCAAAAGGTCAGAAGCCGCAATGACAGTGACAGTCCTGCCTCTGGAATTGAACATAGCTACTAAAAAAGCAACTACTTAAAAGAAAGTAACTCAAACATTTCCTCTAGCACCGGTAATGTACCGTGTTTTCACCACTGCGTGACACACAGAGAGTATTTTTAGAGTGGACATGAGTTGTACTTCATTTTAACAACAGATCGACTACAAGCAAAGTAAAAATGAATCACAAGCAAAATGTGACAGAAAATAAAAATTGTGAAAGGACCCTGGTGGGTGTTCTTACCCACTACAATTCCTGACCCATAACACCAAAAAGGTTATAGCTTTCCAACCATTTTACCCTCTTTTTCTAAGGATTTTACATCACCAGGCTGGTGTGAACAGGGACATTACTGACAAGGCTCGGCCAGGCGGTAGGAGGAGGTCATTAATTGGAAATGGAAAGAATCAACATAATCTGTGTTTAATCCTGCACATTTGCAGATGCTCAGAGTGATGCTCCCCCGGTTTGCATGCACGCAGGTGTGATCCTGGTCCCCAGGGTCTAGTTACTCGCAGCGGCTTACAACCTCCTCTGCCATGCTGGAGGCGAGGAGGGACATGATGGGACAAACTGTATAACTAATAAACACGTGGCATCGAAATAGATGAAAAGAAATTTCCAAGGTGAAAAAAAAGCATTATTAAAAAGCATCTCATTATCTGAGAACATTTAATTTTTCACTTACTGTAATCCATTAATGATCATGCACATTTGTGTGCTTGCTGGTCTGTTCTCCTTGCTCTGCCTGTGATGCTGTGTGTGTATTCATGAGTCTGTGTGCCAGGGAATAAATTGTGTTTGAAATAGATCAAAGACAACAAACCTCAGATCAAAACAGGCAGATTGATCTGCTTATTTCATCACAAGACTCATCTCACCTTCAGTAAGGGAAGATATATTTCAGGATAAAATAAATTATTAAAATGAAATCTTCATGACAAAAGATATCCAGCTGGACCTCTGAAAGGACACATTATCTTGATGATGGTGACGGACCAGGCCGTGCGTGTGTGTGTGCTTATTTTTGCGCGTTTGTACACCTTATCACAAGCGTTCAGCACATCTTTTAATCCTTTTGGTATTATTTATTCCATGCTCCATGTGTCTTTTGTCTAGAAAGTAAAAACAAACATGAACTATATGGAGGATAAAAATAAAAGATAAAAAAAATAAAGCCCATATTAAGTCCTAACTCGATCTTGTGTATGGTTACAGTTGCCACATACACTTAAGCATTATTTCCAGGAACAGTATGTCCATAATCAAGAGTCTGTGATTCATGATTGCGTTACCCTGAATTGTGATTTACTGTAAATATTGACTAATTACACCTCATTCACTTAAAGCCTCCTCTTGACGTAATCGGTATGTTTGTGTTAATGATTTAGGTAGAGCTCTGGGTTCTTGATCCTCCCTGACCTTGTAATGTCAAGTGTGGAAGAGTCAGAGACACTTTGTCATAATCAAGTAGGCATCATTGCTTATGGACGACGTCTCTAAGTAAAGCAAAACGACAAAACAGTGGCAACGCAATTCAAAATACGCTCCAAAATGCTAAAATGCTATAAGTCAACTGCTGCATTTTGTACGTTAAAAGTAGAAAGTAAAATAATATTTACCAATAGATCTCTTCCTTACAAATGTGCATTTAACAATAGTGCTTAAAGCGATGTGTGGGCGACATCTAATGGACTGGAAAGGAATGACGTGTCACATTTTCCTTTACAAAAAGCATTACAACTGTTTTCACAGAGTGGAAACTGTGGGGGAGAGTTTACACATTATTTTAACTGTTTTTATTGCATTAGTTTATTCCATGACCCGATCCTTAAACATAATACACAGATTAAATTGTTAAAAAGAACAAAAAATACCCTTTCTAATACATATTAACTTACATATGTACAAGTAGTAGGAAACTGTATATGCATGAAGAAACAAAATATATACCAGAGCTGGATTTATTTTTACTGTCTCAGCATTCTATTCATGATATACCACATACTGGTGGACAGAATACACTTGTTTCATGTGACAGGGTATCAACAAAATACTACAGAAATATTGTGCACGGTCATAGAGAAAAATATGCTAAATAATGGCAGTCAAATGAAGTCAAAGAGTTAGCTGAAAAGTGTGAACTCATCGCTCATCCTAGTGTATCTCCTCCATCATCTCCGGGGCCGGAGGCGCGCGAGGGGACCGACAAACTACACGTTGTACTCTACGCGTCACAGAACGCACGCGTGCCCCGGAGCGGGGGGCGTCACTGCTGCGGTGCACCGTGAGTCTGATCCAAAGGGTCTGGACACTCGGCCTCCACGGGCAGGTGGCTGCTCGGGATGCCCACCGGGGGACGGACTTTTCTAATCGGGCTGAAACTTCGCGGGGAGCCTCCGGGGGAGTGCGCAGGCGAGCGGACGGGACGCAGCGTAGGTCCCGGGAGGGGCTGCGGGGGAGGCTGGGCCAGAGGGGAGGGGCTGCGGGGGTACCTGCGTGGGGCGGACCAGACGGGCCGCTCGGTCCTGAAGGAGGAGGAGGGACTCGGGAGGACCGGGGCGTACGTGGCAGGGATACTCGTTTCTGATTGGACGGCAGCGTTGTCAGCGTATTCTTCAAAACGCTCCACAGTCTCCTGAAGTGAAGATGGAGAACAGTTACAAAGCTCATCAGCTCTCTGGTGAAATCTACGATTCTCATTTTAATGAAACCATGACGTGTGTATAAACGCGAGCAAAGTTGGTCTGTCGGTCGATCAAGTCCAGACTGAAAGGTCAACGAAATGATCAATTGCCAAGCTAATTTGTAGTCGGGCATCCATGGTCCCAGGAGATTGATTCATAATGACCTTTGGGATTCTCCTGACTACCTCTAGCTCCACCATCACCCAGCAGGTTGACATTTGTGGCATTTAGCTCACAGAATGCTAAACGGAGCCGCTTGCATGGCTGCAGACCTTTGTTTCATTGTGAGGCTGTCAGTGGCTTTTTTGTTTTTGTTTAAAAGGAGTGACTTACATCTTCGTTGAGGACATAAAGAGGCATTGGACTCCTTCGACCCAGCGTAGTTGGTTTGGGAACAACATCTACTGCAAGACATTATATATTCATTTTATTGATATTCTGACAACAAGTTAACTTTCTAATGGTTAAAATCACTGGGTCAATGCGAGCTTTATAGGTGAATAATAATGTGGGGGGATTCAATTAAACTGTTGCTCACCATCATGGCCATTTTCACTCTGATCCAAATAGATGGGAGCTCTTTGGGGAACAGGTCGATGCTTCTTTCTACAGCAGGAACAAAAACATGCTAAATGGA